CAATGCTAGCTTGAGCATATAGTTGCAAGTCATCGGCATACAGATGATAAGAGCATGTGAGAAGACTAGTAATAGAATTTATAAATAAAGAAAACAATAGAGGAGAGAGTATACCGCCCTGCGGTACACCAGCCGTCAGTCCGCCCCAGTCAGAGAGTTCCTGACCAACGCGAACAGACTGCTGGCGACCACGAAGATATGCTGAGAACCACTCCCGCGACGACGACGAGACCCCAGACTGAGTTAATATGGCCAAGAGAATATCGTGGTCAACTGCATTAAAAGCGTTGGAGAAGTCGATTAAGATCAACACAGTTAACCTCGAATCCTCCATACCACACCTCACATCCTCAGTGACTTTGAGCAAGGCAGTGGAAGTGCTATGGCCGGGTCGGAAACCAGATTGGAAGGGAGACGATAATTTGTGTTTTAAGATATATGAGGAGATTTGTCTATGGACAACTGCTTCAAGGATCTTAGATTGATAAGGAAGGATAGAAATGGGTCTATAATCGTTGGCCCGACAGGGATTAGGAATTTTTGGAAGCGGGATGATGTGTGCTTTTTGCCAAGTTGTGGGAAATACACCGTGAAATAGCGAGAAGTTTATTATGTGGGTGAAAATAGGAAGGAAGTGCTCAAGAATGAAGGAAATCATGGTACGACCCACCCCATCACAGCCCACCGCCCTGGATTTGATCGATGCGAAAAACCGCTGGATCTCATTTTCAGTCACTGGACTAAAAGTGAAAGTGTCGGGGAGTGATATAGGCTTGGAAGTAATGTCGGCGATAGTGTTGACTTTAATGGCATCCGCCAAACCAAAAGATGAAGCAAAATGCAGGTTAAGAGTATTTAGAGAGATATTTGTGGGTAAAACACTGGATGAAGTCCCACAAACACCCAGCGTTTTTAGGAACTTCCATACATCAGCCTGAGAAGAGTTTTGAACGTTATCGAAAATGTATCGGCGTTTAGCAGCTCTCACCATCTGGTTACACCGATTTCTCGCCAACCTATACAGTCCCCAGTTCTCAACGCTACGATCCCTCTTATATCTACAGAACGCCCTATTGCGTCGTCTCATAGCCATTTTGACTCCCGGAGTGATCCAGGGAGCCGGTGGATGCCTAACACGGACTGCCTTTAGAGGCGCGTGCGCGTCTACAAGCTTAAGGATAGACTCGTTTAGGTAATTGACCTTCTCGTCAATAGAAGTCGATTGATATACGTTGGTCCAGTCAATGGATTGTGCTTCGCTGTTTAGTTTGACTTTATCTATCCTCGCAAAGTTTCGAAGGTATACAAGTGCAGGACGTCGCCTAGGTGGCCTAATTTTGTATGATAGATAAATTAAGTCATGTCTTGACAACCCCGGAGCCGCAACCTGACCATGATTGACCACAAGTTCCAAGGAGGATACGAGCATGAGGTCGAGCCAAGAATCATCAGATCCAACATTACAATGGGTCGGATTTAGTGGGAGAAGAGAAAGATTCGAAGACTCAAGGATCGACCTCAGCCCACGAGACCTAGGAGACGACTTAATGAGATCAGTATTAAAGTCTCCCATGATAATGTGGTGTTTGTACTCTGTGGAAAAAGTGTCGAAGAGAATCTCTAAATGAGAAAAATAGTTGATTGCTGGTGGGCAGTAAACAACTCCAAGAATAGCCTTGACTCCTCTGACGTCCACTTCCAGCATAAGACCCTCTAGAGATCCGCTATAAAGAGATGGAGAAGAATATAGAATTTTAAAGGGGATGTCACTACGAAGATAGATAGCAACCCCCCCAGCTCTCCTCCCCGTGCGGTCATTTCTGATTAAAATAAAACCAGGTAAACTGTAAGAGGTGGATAGAAGCTCAGGTTTAAGCCAGGTCTCTGAAATTAATATGGCGTGAATTAATGTGTCTGAGAACATGTCCAACAACTCCGAGTGATGTTGAGGGACACTTTGGGCATTAACATGGCAAAAAAGTAATTGTATCTGTTGATTTCATAAATTAATCATTTCTTAGTGTAACTAACCTTGTAGACCAAATTTCTTATACATATAATTTTGTGTATGTTTTTAATTGTGTTAAAAAGGTAAACAATGATGTGGTGGTTTAGTCGATAATACTTGTCGATAGGTATAATATAGGATAACAAACAAAAGAGAATTTATACCGAAAGTGACTATTTATGGATATTTCACTAAATGGCCTATCTAAAAGGAGGTTGACCTTAGTGACTTAATAAAAAGGCCTAAATGAAAAGTACGCTCAATAGACGATATGCATGAAGAGGGTAATAAATATATAAAAAATGGTATAACAGATACATGCCAAAATCGGGTCATTTAGAGTTACCATTTAATGACGTTTCAATAAAAAAAAATACTGTCAAAAAATCTCAATCAACAAAAGAAGCCCTTACGATAACAAAATAAAGGTGCTAACAATACAAACAGCAACCGTACACCCGTTGATTTAACATGTCAATAAGGGATTCACAACCAAGTAAACATGGTAGTAAGATCTATTTTCTATTGGGATTTACGATGTATATCACATTTCGTTTCTGTTGTATTTTTTCACGTTGCTTGGCAAATAAGCTTCCTTATTGGAGCTGGTTACCTTCGTGGACGTGATTAAAGGCGAACAACGACAGATATTTTATTTTGTCTCTTTTTGGTAATAGAAATCTTATTGGTTTTATTCGCTACAGGATTTGAATGAGATTCTCTTTTTGTTTGTTTTTTTATATTGTCGATCTGCTTCGTCGAATATATGTATATGGGTCCCTTCTGAGCTATAAGTTCATGGTTTTATTTCTTTGATTTGATCATTGTTAGCGACTTTTTTGTTCAAGGTAAACAATCAAAAATTGAGTCCGCGAGTATAGATATAGAGGTCTACCTACCCAGTTTTTCCGGGGAATAGCGTGATATTATATTATTTATCTACAATACTCCACATTGAAACAATCTTACAGTTTGTAGTCATTACCATTACACTGTAAAAAACAATATTGTATTATTTTTTTACAGTGCTTGTGGCCTTCGCGTACCAGGTTGGAAATTTGCTACGGCGTAGCGTATCGCGTAGTAACTCGTAGCAACTACGTAGCCAATTACCAACTCTATTAAAAGTATTGGACGCTGAGCTTATTTCTTGTTTTTTATGTTATAAAAAGAGTTTAAAATAAACAGATGTTTACATCGTTGTGTGTACTTGTCTAGTTTTTTATTCGCACGTTCAAATGTTTATTTAGATTAAATATTTGATATTAGGTTTTTAGCGCAGAGCTTTTTGCTACATTCGGTGGTTACTTTAAATAAACTTACATAAATGTTTTCATTCACCTAATGTAGACGAGGTTCGTAATCCAGGATTAGATTGTCAAGGGCTTTTGGTGATGATGATCAAATGTAAACTGTATTACAAATAGCATATGGTTGAGCTATCGATTTTGAAATAATAGTAGCAAGGAGTTTGACATAATTTCCATTGCAGCAATGAGATTTTCAACTACCAAATGCTTTAGGATAAAACAGAATATGTTACTACTTTTACTAAAATAAAGTTTTCGTACTTATAAATAAAATATCCAATCACAACTCTTTATAATTATCATTTACTGAATCGTGTCAAAAACAAACGACGACCAATAGCTGAAATTAAAAGCTTAATTAAATACAAACAAAACCTGAATACGTTCTCGAGGTTTAAGCAGGCGTAAACAAACGGTTTTGTATTCATTTCAGTTAATAAAGTGCTCCAAACTCAGGCACTGCGAACATAAAGCTGCTTTGAAAATGAAATGTTCTCGAAAACACAATAATAAACACAGATTTCTATAAACATTTTAGATTTCATTTATTTATTGTGGTATAAGTGAAATGTTTACTATTTAAATATGTTGCTTAGTTTGGAGTAATCTCCAACTCCATTTGACAATTTAATTGATAAATGTCCTGTGCAAACTGCAGACATACATATATATCTTCACGTCTTCCATTGTAGTACGCAGAGAAAACAGAATACTAAATGACACGATTCTGGCATACGTTTCTTTCGCTTCATCTTCATGCATCAATCTCTCCGAGCATACTCCTTGATTGGAGGTATTTTTAAGTTGAAACTTTTTAAATAATTTAGTCTAATCTAGTACAAGCAGAGTGGAATATGTTTGATGCTACTCCTAGACTTCTGGCTGGTTTCGTAAGAGCTAGCTGACTGAGGAACAACACATTTGACAGAGTATAGACTTCAGTGCTCTCTGATAAACCTGAACCTTTTACACAGCGATATCCAACTCACCTGCTAAACCCACCACCAACAGTTAGAAATTGACGACGAGACAGTATTTTAGGCATTACGTTAGACAATAGACTACAATGAGGTCCGCATATAAAGGTTTTTCGGGGAGATTGAGCTCAGCTGCTTTTGCGGTTAAACAGATTAGACAGCTTACAGACGGGTTGTGTGTGTGTGTACCATGTTGTGGGGTGGAGCTGCAAAAATAGAATCAATTTTTATTCTATAAAGCGGGCTTTTGAAACGTCAGCAAATACAAAATAAATAATACTCTGGCAGTCTATGCGTCAGCGAATCTAGGTGCTCTTTGCAAAATGTACATTAGAATGTAAAAGAACGAGCAAGAAATTCTATTTGATACTCTTTAATATCTTATTAGACTATAAGATATTTAGACCTTAGGTAGATATTAACTTTATTTTTTTCACTATGGACCATACTTCTTTTACTGCGAATCATAAGTAAAATGGACGAGTAAAATGCTTTCCCGGGACACATCAATCAGTTTCTCACTTCTCTTTATAATATAAATGTTGATAAGATGGAAAAATATTCTCGAATTTATCAACGGGCAAAGTAAGAAAATGGTTTTATATTTCGTAGCTCTTTAAATAACAAGAAATAAGGATGTAGAATCAGAAATTAGTAAAATGTGCACAGGTGACGTTTTAAATTGGTTTTCTCTTTTTGTTTTAGCCCCCATCTGAAGGAGAACTGGCTGCCCCAGCTAGTGTTGTCAGTCGTATGCATCGTCTCAGAAATCTGCGCAAAGGCACTAGAGTGAGTATTGATGACAGTAATATGTAGCTTCCTAACAATATAAATAGATACAATATATGTATATGGATTTATGTGTAGTTATATCATTATTCTAGCAGTGTACGTCGTGTCGTTGCTTAAATGATGACGTCAACCTGTAGCCAAGTTGACATCTGAGATCATTAACGATCTAGAAGCAAAACATAAACAATCTTCATACCTATTTTTGGTTGGATTATAAATACTCTACTTGACTATGGGTGCTGTTCTATCTAAATCAATAGCGTACTAATATGAGATAAAGGGGTATCCATATTTACCTACTTAGTTGAATTCGGGAATGGAATGTAGTCACCATAATTATCTCCGAGTGTATTTTGAAAGTACTCGACAAACAGTAGCGCGTGTGTCGAAATATGTATCTAATTTAAGAAAGTCATCATTTAGCCATATATTTACTTACGACTTTTTCTTTTCCTCTAGCCACAAACGTTGTTCAACGATAAAGGCAAGTATCCGACGTTGACAAGGATGTCGTACTGCCAGTGTCGCCTGCCTCGTGTCTTCAGCAGCGTGTTCGAGAGGTTCGGCTGGGCACACGTCGCGCTACTGCTTGACAAGTCAGACCTCTTCTCTTTAACTGTCGGTAAGTTTCTATGTGTTCAAAGGAATATGGTTTTAAGGTTATTTACGTATGTATGTGAAATGGACTGGTTGAAATGTGTATGGCTTTTTTTACAAATATTTATTATTTTACCGTCTTATTTGATCGAGTGGATGTTTGATTGAATAAACATATTTTCAAACTGCCAATAATTTATTTATTGAGGCTTTGTAAAATATTTCATCACCTATATTTTAGCAGTTTTTCGGCGCAAAATTTTTGGCTGTACATAGTGTACATACCACGCAACACCTCGAACGTTGTAAAAGATGCAGGATTCCGTGAGATGCGGCATCCCACATCACGTGAGTGGAATGCTTAATACCCGACCGCCAGGTATTTTAATTTGGCAGCCTTTTTTGCGAAGAAATAAGAAGTATGATACGATCGGCCTATCTTTCCCCACACTGTGGGCTGGCTTTTTGCGTACACCACTTTTTGCTATTTATGCGAGTCTCATTAATCTGAAGTGATACGTACGGTCAGCCAAGTAATTTGGTATGCAGGTGGGACAATACAGATTAACTTAGTACAGTGACAGCATTCATTGTTTTATTATTAATTTGATTTATAATTACAAGAGATATGGCTTAGTTAAAAATCGCGGGTTACTCATGTGAAAATACTGAGAAAAACTCTACTACTTTCGAGCCACGGAGAGACCCTTCCTCATGTGCAGCGTGCGCGGTCGCGGCGATGTCACGCAAGATGCAAAAGTACATGGCTTCTTCTGCATCTTCTTGTTCTGCATAGCCATATGGCTTCTTGAAAAAGTACTCAATTGAGTATAACAATAGCTACTGTCTTTGTACTGAATCAATCTTTATTTCTGAATACTAGCTAATGACCTTTTATTTAATGAAGTCAAGGTTAAGTAGTTTTTTTTTGTAGGTAAATTAACTTAGAAAAGTTAAACATAACACAAGATGACACCACGTTTTTTACCCCCGAAGGGGTAGGCAGATGTGCATATTTACGGCACTAATGCCGCTGTACCACCCACTTTTCACTATTTATGTTGAATCACATGAAATCCCGGCAGTCGCACTTACGACCACTAGGCCGCCAGCCAAGTTAATTAAATTGGGTTTTTAATTTTATAAACTAGAATAAAATAAATGGACGTATTATGTTGTAAGTATATAATACAGATTCAAGAGTTTCGCAATAATATTTACAGTCAATAGATCCACGAGGCTGTCAATTCATAGTAACGTTATTTACATTTGGTTAGTTCGATTCCCACACAAAACAAATATTTGTATGAACTGTAGATTTGTTCCGGGTTCCATTGTTTGTGTGTATTAAATGGAATTTGTAAATAAACAAACGTATTACACAGCTTCTTGCGTAATATTGCGTTATGTTCTCGAAGAGGTGGGCAGAGTTGCACATACTGGGTATAAGATATTTACCAGTTACGTTGAGGCATATTCCCTGATTCATTTAAAATGGAAATTGTAAGGAGGTCTCTTACTCTGCCGATAAAATTTGAATAAAGAAGCAGACTTCCTTATCTTATGTTAATTATTGCATTACATAATAATCTAATCCAGAGATTTCCAACCTTTTTCATCAACGGACTGCTTTGATAGCTTTATTCGTACGATTTAATCGATGTTTAATTTGTATTTCGGCCAGACCCTTGGGATTGCGGGCCCTAGGTTGATAAACCCTGACTTAATTGATTGATTTTCCCTAAAATCCTTTCAAGTAGATACCTTGTTTGATCATTTTGAAGAGAACTTGAACATACCTTCATTTGGTTTCGTGTTGGTGTGTATGTTTGTTTGTTAGTTAATGGGACATGATTCTATTGTAATTGATATGATTTTTTGAACAAATATTTATTTGTCATTTATCAAATGATTTTTTGGACAAATATTCAATTATTTATATGGCGTAAAAGTTTTAAGATCCATTGTGAAGAAGTTACATCAGTTCGAAGATTCATCATTTCATACATTTATTGCTTTCTAAAGGTGCTAGGAAACGCAAAATAACCAGTTTTGCTAGAATAAAGAATCTTAGGCAATTTAGTTAATAACTATTGCTCCAAATGCTAGCCATTCTAACGGTACGTACCATTTATCGTTGACCTTTCAAAAATGCCCAAAAAATGATTTCTTTTCTACGCGATTAAACAGCATTTACCATTTAATTACAATCAAAGTTAAAAATCAAGGTTTGCACGTTACACTAAATCTATTACTCAAGTCTCTAAATGCGTCTGATTGTTCAAAGAATTTTAAGACTTAAGCAATTTTCAGACTCATCATCAAATGCTCTGTTATGTGCTAAAAGGAATGTTTTTATTACAAACTTTACCTTTTTTATTACCGAAATGGGCTTTTAAAGGCTTAGTGAGGTAAGGTGCAGAATGCCTTGTATCCTGTGAAGTTATAAGGCACATAAAATGTTGCTTTATGTTAAGAGGTCATACGTTGTTGCTTCTTCCAAGAAAGGTGGAATTTATGAAGTTGTTTCCCTTGTAATATAGCGAGATATTTTGTTGGTTTGTTTTGGCAATGGAGGTTGTATGAGAATGAAACCAAGAGACATATGGAGGTTTGTGTTTTAAGATGTTTTAGGAAAGCATGTTTTTTATTCAAACAAAACTAGTGAAAGGTCAAAGAAACACAACATAACAAAAACAACAAAAGGCGTGAGCCTTTTAGTCCCGAAGGGGTAGGCAGAGGTGCACATTACGGCACTTAATGTCACTGTAAAGCAAAAGAAATGTACATGGCAATGATTCAATTGTAATTAAGGAAATATATTGACAAATGTTAGAAACAATTCGAGTCACTTATGACTCAGAGAATCTTGAGCAAATCACAATGATATTGCAGTTTTATTGCAGATATGAAGTATTTCACGACGATTTTACATGTTTAATGGCATAGAAATGATCTGTAATCCAATAATTTTTCTTTATCTTTTTTATATAGGTAAAAGTCTGGAGTGGGGACTTCGGAAGAAAGGAGTCTTGAAAGCAGTGAGGGAACTGGACGGCAACGAGAGGGAATCTTGCGAAGCACTACTCAAAGATGTCAGCATGTATGCCAGAGGTAAACAAGCCTTATGTTTATAGGGCTAAGATGTATATTAGAATGAGCTAAACCTTGTGGTCTACTTTTGTTGTCTGAGATGACAGGGTGGTCGGGGATGGGTGTGAATGGGATTTATATTAAACACAGGGCGTTTTTCATTTGTTTTCCGTTTGTGCCAGTGGCAGTGTAATACCGAAATCTGCTTCTACTTGCCTAGTGATTTGTAGATATAATATAAAGAAATATTTTATATTTACACATATTAGACATCACGCTTTTTATCCCCGAAGGGGCAGGTAGAGGTGCAAAGTACGGCACTTAATGCCACTGCACAATGTAACACCCACTTTTCACTATTTATGTTATGAGTCCCATGTAATAAGGGGTGAGCTTATTGCCATATACCGGGCACGATTCCAGACTACGTGCAACTGAGTTTTTTAAAACCTAATTAAATTTTGCACGACCCAGGAATCGAAACCGAGACCCTTTGCCTGGCAGTCGCACTTGCAACCACTCGGCCAACGAGGCAGTATATTTAGTTTATAAAATTGACTTACTTGTAATGCTATACCTTACTAATACTTGTTGGAATTAATACGACCAGATTCCTGAAGCCTACCGTGTTATATAATAGATAGTTAATTCTGAGTTACGGAGAATATAGTCTAAATGTTTTGTAAATGTATAGTCTCTTGGTAGACTAAACACACTTTTCTTGATTTAAATGAAAGTCAATAGTTGAGAATAATAATTTGTATTGTAGAATAATAAACTAACGTAAAATGGATTGAGTGAACTGTATGAGCGTGAGTGCTAATGTGAGTTATGAGAACGCACGGCGGACTTGATTGCTCGATACGAACTGAATCGAATAATTAGGTAAATGAATTACGATGCGTAAAAATGCTGACTTTAAATGTGTACGGTTGCACCGTACATGCTCCCAAGCGGAAGATGAATGTTAGATGAACATGAAGAGAATGAGTGACAAGATGATGCCAATTGGTCCTTATGCTAGATGATTAACAAGGTGATTCCAATTCAACCTTATGCTATGCTTAAAGTCTCTATTTGAATTCAGTTTTACGTGGCATTGGATTTGTGCACTTGTTTAATTTACGAATTTTATGAACCTCACTGATATCGCACTGATCACTATCACTAACACTGCACACACGCACTATAGAAGGTGATTCACCGGGCCTGACTCCTGACGTGGTTGACACCACGTGTTCAGCAACTCGATGGCTCGTCAGTGCGGCGTTTGCTACCGCTTGAAATGTTGCTCGTTTCTTGCGCAGACGACGTATTATCAGGACTGCTCCTACTGCTAGTGTAATACACACAACCATATAGAAGGCTGTGTAGTGATGAATGTCATGGTAGGAAATCTGATTTGGTAAATTTTCATTTGCTTTCAGGTTACTTATCTGTTCTTTGATTTCTCTAAGCTCTTTCTCGTTTGGAACGAAGGAGTAGTTTTGTATCAGTGGGGTTCGAAAGCCTACGTCAATGATATGATTAATCGGTTCAATGTCTGGGAGTTGAAGGGATGACTTTGTACGTATATTGCTGGAACCATACTTGCGTGAGTAAACTGTGAAACTTTCGGTTTTGATTAGACAATCAGGAGCAACCCCTACTATTCCTGCCTTTTCTAGTGTTCCTGTTGACATGTGTTCGTCGCAAAGCACTCGTATTAGACACTGGTTACAACAAAAATATAAGTACTTATTTATTTTGTTTATTTCGATCCATTGATTTGAACATTTTGTTACGCTTATCTTACATTTAGTTGTTTCGGGTTCTATTTCACATAATTTTTCATCGTTCTTGAGATGGTAAATTGGTCTTGGTATGTAGCAGAGATATGAGTCAATGTCATCATGTAGACAAGCCTCGACATCATATGTAGACATAGGTATATACGAGTCCTTCTTCAAATTGATTGCTACATATTCAGCAATCGGTGTGATGATTGCCATGCTGTCATTTGTAACTTGAGGTATTGGTATAATTTTCATTATTGTAAATGAGTCTCTGGACACTAATGGTAATTTCAATTCAAATATCAAATACTCTTCAGACATCCTCGTCTTAACCTTTAATAGATGATATATATTTCTGAAATTAGTTTGTAGATTGTTAACTGGTAATGAGAGATCCTTTGTTAAATGGCTTGAAATTGTATTCAAAGTTTCCTTTAGTTGCTCTGGTGATATTAAGTGAAAATTGAGTCTGCCGTGATATATATCAGTTATTGTATCTAAAAGATTGGTTTGAATTGTTTTTAAATGTTTCAGAAAATTGCTTGTTGCTACTGCTCCAATACTGAAATCATTCATGATAAAATTTCTTTCAGTTTCATTTAATAGCATATTTTCTATTTTGTCCAATCGGATAGATAATGTATTAAGCATTTTGTGTTGCTTATTTATGGCTTCTTCGTGTCTTTGTAGGATATTGTACTCAGCTTCAATGACAGACGTTTGATTTTTCATAAGCAGAGCCAAATGATTCTCATTACTTTGTATTAATTGTATATCTTGTTTATATTGCTCGGCGAAGTGTTCATCAAGTACGCCGAACAAGCTGTTCGCGAGATACCCGACACCGTTGATAAGCCCTCGCCTTGAACGCGAGCGCAGGTCGCGTGCGCGTCGTGTGCTGGAATGCTGACTCAGCAACAGGTGATTGTAGTACTCCAGTTCCGAGTACTCGTGTTGTAATTGTAGTTGAATGACGCCACAATGAGATATTTCTTTGAACTTCGTACATAATTTATCTAAATAATTTAAATATTTGCTACAAGCGTCGGTTCCTTGCCAATATGCATCCATGTTATAATATGTTATGATTTTCCATTCATCTCGGATTAATTGCATGTTAGAAATCGTGTCAAAATATAAACCATGCTTGCTTGTAAACTGTGTAACGTTGTATGCACAATGCGAAGTGGTTAGGATGTTCAGAAATATCATTAAAGACATTGCTATTGATAAGAAACTATTTAATTTCTTCTTGGTTGTCTGGCTAGGTTTCTTTTCCCTTTCATCGTAGTTAATTTCTTGATCGTTAACTCGATCGTTTACGGGGAGTTTAGATAATTTGATGATGGGACGCTTGATTAGTCCATTTTTTGTCTTCAATGTAACCACTCTAACGTGGCCATCACTACCAGAATGTAATTGAACGACACGGCCCATGGCCCACTTTCCTGGAGGTAAATTTGCATCATTGATTGTCACAATATCATTGATTTTGATGTCAGATTGAGCGTGTCTCCATTTGCTTCTTGCGGAGAGTTGACTGAGATATTCTAAATGCCATCGTTTCCAGACGTCGTGCACTATTTTTTGTGTCACATGCCATCTTGTACGCATGTCTGATTCTGTTTCCAATATGGTCATGTTTTGATTGACGTTTATGAAGCTTGATGGAGTGAGGAAGTCTAAGTCATCTGGATCTTCAGTCAAGGGACATAAGGGTCTTGAATTGAGTACTGCCTCTAACTGGGCGAGTATAGTTGAAAACTCTTCGAAAGTGAGCCTCTGGTCTCCAACAACTCGGCATAAATGAAATTTCAAACTTTTGACCGCTGCCTCCCATAGTCCACCTGCTGAGGGCCACGAGGGCGCGTTGAAATGCCATTTAATCTCCATGTTTGCTATTTCACTAAGAAAATCTTGATCAAATGTATTTTGAAGTTGTTCATATTCTTGTTGCATAATCTTGTTAGCCCCAACAAAGTTCGTCCCATTATCGCTATACATATGTCGCGGAGAACCCTTTCTTGCAGCCATTCGCCGTAATGCAGCTATGAATGCTGACGATTTAAGGTCGGAGACTAACTCTAAATGGACGAGTTTGGTCACCATACATATGAATACAGCGACATATCCCTTTGTGGTCTTGATACCACGACCTTTATTAGCCTTGATGTACACGTGTCCGGTAAAATCTACTCCTGTATGGTAAAACGGCTTGGCAACGTTACATCTGGCTGCTGGTAAATCTCCCATAAGCTGGGTCATCGGATTTGGGGTTTGTTTGCGACATGTTACACAGGTGCGTATACGCTTTTTTACTGCTCGGTTTCCGCCAATAATCCAGTACTTTTGTCGTATGGCGGCGGAGGTCACTCGAGCTCCTCCGTGAAAGGTAAGTATATGTGCATGATCTATTATTAAGTTGGTTAAATGCCCTTTATGAGGTATAATAATAGGATGCATCATATCGTGATCGATACTGGCTTTCTTTAGCCTTCCTCCCACTCTAAGCAGTCCATATTTGTCAAGGTAGGGGTTCAGTTGCAGTAAGTTGCTTTTTGACGGTATGGTATTATTTTCTTGTATCATTTTTATTTCTGTGATGAATTCGTTTTCTTGTACGTACTTAATTATTTTATATTTGGCATTCTTTATCTCTAGTAGTGTCAAATATGGTTGCTTGGCTTCCTGAGTTTGTTTAATTGACCTGGTCATTCTTAGAACCCATGCTAGAATTCTCGTAAGCTTGGTGAGTGAGCTATATTGCTAATAGTTCACCTATCAAGCTTGCATCCTTATTTTGCAGCGTTGTATGATTTACACGTTTTGTCTTCTTTGATTCTTCCTCGGTGTTAAAAATTGATTGGTCAATTTCTTTGTTTGTGTCATAAGAAGGTAACCACGTGGGTCCTTCCCACCACAATGAATGATTTTGGAGTTCATCAACATTCATGCCACGGCTGGCGCAGTCCGCTGGATTTTCTGCCGACTTAACATATCTCCAGCTACTCGTTGGTAGAATTTGCTTTATTTCCCGTACTCTGTTTGCGACAAAGGGCTTCCACCTACCTGACTCGCCTTGCAACCATGCAAGAACAACCATAGAATCTGTCCAATTGTTTATTTTAACTGTGTAATTGATAAGACATTGTTGAATCTTAAACATCAGTTTGGCCAATAGTAGAGCACCACAAAGCTCCAACCTTGGTAACGTGACGATTTTGGAAGCTGGCACTAGTCTTGTTTTTCCAGCTACTAGTGATATTTTTATGTTGCTATTGACTATTTGTTTACAATAGACAACACACGCATATGCCTTATTGGAAGAATCACAAAATCCGTGTAATTCAACAATACCATTTTGCCCGGTACCCAACCATCGATTTATTTTAAATTGGTTTATCTTGTGCATCTCATTTCTAATGTTAATCCATTCTCTAAGAATATCATCGGGCAACTTGTCATCCCATTGTAATTTTGACATCCACACCTTTTGGAATATTAATTTAAGTTTTGTTGACAGTGGTGATAGCCAGCCAAGAGGATCAAACAGCTTGGAAATATCTGATAGCATAGACCTTTTAGTTGGAATCTTAGTAGATGGTACTTGAATCTTCGATAAAAATGTAAAATGATCTGTTTTAGGATTCCAACGTAATCCTAATGTTTTTGCTGATTCTACTTGTTTGAAATCAAAATCCTCTTGTTTGTTGTTCTCCCCGAGTCCATTTTGCAGTAGTTCGAGTGCGTTGGACGACCACTTCCTTAAATTAAATCCTCCAGATTTTAACAACTTGATTAATTGTTGTTGTAAATTGATTGCAGATTCGACGGAATGAGAGCCGTGTAAAACATCATCCATGTAAAATGACTGTTCTAGCGCCTTGATTGCTTCAGTGCTATAATTCTGTCGCTCATCTTCGGCTAGCTGTTTAAGTGTCATCATAGCCAAAAATGGCGCGGCCTTGGTGCCATATGTAACAGTGCAAAGTTGAAATTCTTGATATGGCATTTCTGATGATTCTCGCCAAATAATTTTTTGTAAGATTTGATCTTCCTCATGTACCCAAATAAAACGGAACATTTTTTCAATGTCTGCAGTGAACGCAATTCGAAACTGTCTCCATTTTAATAATAACGATTGCAGGTCTTGTTGCAAGTTAGGGCCTTTTAACATGAGGTCATTTAAGCTATTTCCGGTCGTTGTTTTGCAAGAAGCGTTGAAAACTACACGAAGTGCCGTTGTAGTAGATTCATTGCGCAATACGCAATGGTGTGGTAAATAAAATTCTGGTTTCGCGTTACCAGTAGTTGGTTTCATATGTCCTAATATCTGATATTCTTTAATAAACAATTTATACTGGTCGGCAATTATTTTATTATTGTAAAACTTCCGTTCTAAGTGACGAAATTGCGCAATCGCCTTGTGTTTCGAAGAACCCAACTGTTTCTCAAAGTTTTCTTGCATTGGTAATCTTACTACATATGATCCATTTTCGAATCTTGTTGTAGTTTTCTTATAAAGTTCCACACATTGTAGGTCTTCTGCTGATAGGTTGGGTGATTCTGTGATATCTTCGATCTCCCAGAATTTTTGCATCTCGTCCTCTTGATTTAGGACTATGTTACAATGCAGTGTCTTGATACTGCCACTTAAAATCCATCCCAATCGCGTCTGCTGCGCGATGGGTAAGGATAGATCTGCTCTGATTATACCATCCAATATGATAGATGAATAAACATCCGCCCCTAATAAAATGTCGATAGAACGACTAATATGAAAATCTGGATCAGCTAATTGAATGCCGTCTAAATGTGCCCATGTTGGCTTGATAAAGGTGCGACTTGGTAGATATGTTATGAGTGTATTCATGATTAATACATCGGTGTTGAATGTAAATGTACTGAAATGTGAACCACATGTTACGTTCATGACACCCTTGCAACTGTTCTTCTTCTCTCCAATCCCAAACACGACTCCTTTGCATTGCTTTCTTGGTAAAGCTAGGACCTGCGCCGCTTTTGTGGATATAAGAGAAGCTTGAGAACCTTGGTCTATTAGCGCACGCATTTTATGAAATGAGCCATCACTTGCTTGGACCTTGATAACTGCTGTGGCTAATAGTATTTCAATGACGTTGTTAGCGTCTTGCTGAACGTGATTTTCTTGTAAATCTTGTTGTTCTTGTGTGCTAGTTACAAGAACTGTTGGCATTATTTCACTGACCAAATTAATTGACGAATTAGCGAATGCTTCATGTAAAAGTGAATTATGTTTACCTTGGCATTCCCGACAACGTTTGTCTGAAATGCATGGTTTATTACCATGGTCACTAAGGCAGTTTTTGCATAAATGCAATTTTGTTATTGTTTGCCGTTTTACTTGAGGCGACATGTGCAAAAATTTTTCGCAATAATAAATTCCATGTAAGTCTTTGCATAATGGACACGTTTTTGAATTATTGGGTAATGTTGAATTAGTTTTCTTGGAATTGAAAATGTAATTGGATTGATTTCTTGAATTTCCGTATCCATTGTTAGATTTACTGATACTTGAAGTTTTTGTGTTTTCTGATTTCTTTCGGGACGACTCCAACGTAGTAAATTTGCTCTCAAGAAACTTTAAAAAATCTTGAAGTTTTGGTAAATTTCTCGGATTTTCCAGTGATTCTAGATACTGATTATGTGATTCAGTATCTAACTTTTGTAAAAGTAGATGCACAATCAATGGATCCCAGCTACCTATGTCTACACCTAAATTTTTGATTGCATTTAAGCATTCCAAAGCAGTATCGTGAATCCTTTTAATATGATTTGCTGATGGCTGTTGAGCCACCGGTAGATTCAACAAAGTATTAGCATGAGATGTAAAAATCAATCTCGTGTTGTTGTATCTATTGTTTAGTATCTCCCAACACGTTAAATAGTTTTCTGAACTTATTTGTAAGTGTTGTATCAAACGTTCAGCTTCCCCTCGCACTTTGCTCTTTAGAAATTGCATTTTCTGAGCGTTTGATATCGAGACGTTGCTATGTATGACTTCTGTAAATAAGTCTTTAAATGACACCCAGGTTTGATAGTTGCCATTAAATATGGGTATATCCATTTTAGGAGTCCACTTGTCTTTGTGATTTATACCCCAGATCTTGCAGTTTATGGTCTTTTTTAAATCGTTGTAGATGGTTTCTTGTTTAGTGTATGATATTTCGTACGATTCATTAGTACCCTCGAGTTCGCTGTCTAATTCCCAATGCAAGGAATCTATTGTAGACCAGCGAGCCTGGAGAGATCGCAAAGCATCTTCCAACACCCACTTTTCAGATACATTTTCTAAATTAATACCTGACACTGTGCGCTGAAATGCCCTGAAATTACTTGCTTGCTTTCTGAGCATTTCATCGAGTTTACTGGATGAACCCCTGGACTGAAGTTGAACTTGTGTATTATTTCCCACTAGCTCTTCTTGCTCGGAACTAATAAGACCTGATGTTTCTTGATCTTTATCTCCTTGCTGAGATAGTCTTTGTTGTAGCCCAGAAGTTCCAGCCGATTCAGACTTCATCGTTTTCAGCAAGCTTTGACGGTGTTGAATGATGAGTGATTTGGTTGATTTGTATAATTCTTCGGCTTGTGCGAAGTCACGATTGGTAAAATATGGATGGGACTTGCTTTCCTCCACCAGGAGACGGTCATGATTGTATTGATAGTCAGACCAATATTGCTCCAATGTATCCAATCGCCTTTTGAAGTAATCCGCAGTCTTGCGATCTGCGGAATCCTTTTTGAAGTTGGTGGCTAGCTTGCTCATAGCCCCAAACAGCTCAGCTTGGTTTGCGTGTAAGCTCTCCATGATGAAAACTTATACAAAGTAAGAAAAATGAAACGATCTTACTTGAATATCCTTGGTATGTACTGCTTACGGATCCTTGGTGATCTGCTGCTGTTGAGACTCTTGGTAGTTTCAACGTACGGGGACACAACACTCACACTTTTTAGTCACTGGATAGTCTTCACAGTTATAGTCCGCGTCACACAACACGATTGTCTACAACGTCTAAAGTTCTTTATCGAAGGACCAAAAAATATGTATAGTCTCTTGGTAGACTAAACACACTTTTCTTGATTTAAATGAAAGTCAATAGTTGAGAATAATAATTTGTATTGTAGAATAATAAACTAACGTAAAATGGATTGAGTGAACTGTATGAGCGTGAGTGCTAATGTGAGTTATGAGAACGCACGGCGGACTTGATTGCTCGATACGAACTGAATCGAATAATTAGGTAAATGAATTACGATGCGTAAAAATGCTGACTTTAAATGTGTACGGTTGCACCGTACAGTAAACTTGTTTGATTTATTGACAAAAATGTCTATTAATGGAATAAACGTAACTTAATCGATTCAAATAAGAATGAATTTTGACATTTGAAACTCATCTGTTATTTTCAAATTGGGCTCGTTAGTGATATTTTTCGACCCTTTTCATCCTTGTTTAACCCGATATTCAACTGTTAAAAACTTTTTGATTGCCCACTGGATAGAAATACGAAATAAAATGAATCAATTAGTTTAAAATAAATTCTTTATTGAATTAATTGAGCTTCCGAGTATTCGATATTAAAATCGATATTGGATAGAGTTTGAGATTGCTCGATTCCACTCGAGTCGGTTGCTAGTTCCGTGGAAAAAATAATAAGGGTATGGAATCGATGCGTTCAATGTTCTTTTTATTGGAAAGTGCAAACCACTGTTCCACAGACTGTGGGTAATTGGAAAACTGACAGATATTACGCGTTTTATTTCCTTTTTCGCTCGTTATTTTTCCTCTTTGCACTTTCAGTTCCGTTATATTAAAATTGATGAGATATTTTTTCTCTTTCGATGTTAGCTATCGATTTACTGCGATTGATTTTATGTTTTGATTGATATTGTGTTTGTTTTGTTTAGAAATGTTGTTATATTTGTTATTATGAATTTCATGTGAAATCAATCAGGTAGGAAATAGACAGCTGATATAATATTTAAAAAATGAACATTAATGATCATATATACTGTACTGAAGTACTAAATATGTATATTTACTCGGCTTATAACATTCGTACTCATAACGTCCTAACACAAACTTATTTTTTCTCCGATATAGTGGTAATCCTGAGCGTGCGTGGCTCACTCGTGCGTGAATTCCTATTGGCTGCGCATACACTTGGCATGACGCGAGGGGATTGGGCCTTTCTGGACGTCGAAATATTTCAGGTAATTACATATAATTTTTTTTTAGGGTAGTAGCCGGTAAATGAGCAGACGGATCACCTGATGATAAGCAATCGGCGTTGCCCATGGACACCTGGAACTGCAGAGGCGTTACAAGTGCGTTACTGGCCTTTTGGGGCTTAGTAGTTTGAGGATTGTTGGGGATTCAGGGCTTAGAGATTTCGGAAGGGGAATAAATTGGGGTGTAATTGGGCCTCCGGTAACCTCATTCACACGAAAAAACACAACGCATGCGTCGGTTTTCGGTGAGGCCGTGGCATCACTACGGTCGAGCTGGCGCATTCGTGCCGAAGCATGGCTCTCCAACACTTAATTACACACTTATGGTTAAATGTTAAAATGTTGTTTGATTTCCTAGGAATTAGAAATGACATTTATTTACACTTAACTGAGAAATTGAAAGCAAATGTTATGCAGAGGAAATTATAATCAACAGACAACGCCAAGGTTCTTTAAAGGTTTATAAGAAGTCCTTTCAAAGACTTTCTTAAGGACAGCAATAACTGGAGCGACTAAATAATCGCCGCACATCTTCAATTAAGAACTTTAATCAGTAAAAATATTCATGAAATTATTATGCATACCTTGTTGGAACTTCATTTCATCAAAGAAATAGTACCAAGGTGGTTTGTAGAAAACTATGAGTAATTTTATTCATTTATTTATTTAAAAAGTGTTTTTGAATGAGTAGTCACAATAGCTACTGCTGAATGTAAGATGGAAACCCTGGAAACCCTGATATGGCTCCGTTAAAAAGTGTACGATTGACAATAATTAGTTATAGTTATTATACTCCATTATTTATTTATTTATTTTCAGCCATGATCCTACCACTGCAGGGCAAAGGCCTCCCTACCCTCCTTGCACTTCTCTCTTCTCTGCGCAAAGCTTTCTGTGGCTAATCCTTGTCGTATAGTTTTCAAGTTCGTCCCGCGATCTCCTTCTCCATTTTATAGCCTCCAAACTAAATCAATTTTACCTGCATACCAAATGACATAATTGGCAGTACAATACCCACCGTACATCACTACATAGTATAAAACAAAGTCCGTCTGTCTGTCTGTCCTTATGTATGCTTAGATCCTTAAAACTACGCAACAGATTTTGATGCGGTTTTTTTAGTAGATAGAGTGATTCTTAAGGAAGGTTTATATGTATAATACATGCATATTGCACCCGTGCAAAGCCGGGGAGGGTCGCTAGTCTATATATATATAAAAATGAAACCCGTTTCCCGTTGTCAGGCCATAACTTGAGAATGACTGGACTGATTTGTCTGATTTTTTTTGCTGTGTTTGTTATTGTCAGGAGAATGTTCTTATGATAGAAAAAAATCCTGAAAATCTTATAGGAAAGGGGGACAACGGGATCGTACGAAGTCGTGAGGAAAGGAGCTAGTTAACATTAAATTTTGTGGGATATGGAAATGTAAATAACATGAGCTAGTTTTCGAATATTTTACAGAGATTTTACTAAAATAATAGCCGTGTTCGTGGCCACGGTATCGTCACGTGCGATCACAGTTTAATGATTCTCTATATTAATACTCTGTAGGTTTTTGACAGTATGACACCAGCAACCTCTAGCGTAGACGTGCAAAAACATGTTGTAGTAAATATTTGTGATGAAAAAGTTTTAACTTGCCGTTGCTTTTAATAAATTGAATGGATTTATAATATAATGCTTAGTAAAATTCATCTCGTCACGTAATAGTCGATAGTGAGTGTTGATAGATTTCTGTTAGATTAATTTCTTTATTTTATTAGAGAGATGGATTTAAAAATAATTAATAAACTTATTTTTGGTACTATATTTTGTTTTTATCCGACTACGGAGAAGCCAACGAGGATTATAATTTCATACTGTTTAGGTGTGAAATGACATATTACAAACATTTAAATATTTTAATTAAAACGTTATTTTTTATTTTCCAAAAACACTGAATCATCTGTAGCCCTATTTCACAAATTATGTTCCTAGTCGTATTGCAATCAAAGATTCAATATTCAGTAATATTTATTTCGATGCGGGTAACGACTCCACGAGTCTTCACGATCTGTTCTCTTTACAATCGAAAATTGCTTAATAGCGACCCTGTTACAAACTTTTTCTTAAAAAACAGGGTACAATACAATATCACACTACCTTTCAACCTTTTTAGATAGGTCAAGTTCAAACTGCACCCATAAAACGTTTCGAATCAGATTTTAACCTCGAAACCTGGATAACCAATCACAAGCCCGGATATTGCCACAGATAATCTAAGCACATCTATTAATTCTAGAACGCGTCCCTTCAATCAAGCTGTTATCAGGCATTCCACACACGCCTCCCTTGACCTTTCATGCGAAGGTAAACCTTCATACGCCTGATTATAATGCTCAAAGTCGTGTGTATGTCTATTTACTTGCCTTAATGTACTTTTTCAAGGTGCGATTTGCATTTGTTTTGGAGTTTGATAAGTGAAGGTTTCATTTGTTTGTTTGTAAAGAAAAAGAGAGAAGTTTTTCTGTTAAAGACTGTGTTTATAAGCTACGTAAAATCTTTTGGTTTACGTTTTTTTCGTTATATTAACCAATTTTATATTTAGGTATGATTGAAGATTAATAGTTTTTCCAATAAAAATATGCTACGACGCTGTATAAGCAATATTTCCCTAAAGACTGACCTACGTTTTTCCGAAAAAGTATATCTTTAAAAAAACCATTTCTAATTTTTCTTTCCTATTTTCCATTCACGAGTGTAATGAAAAGCATTTCTGGCTTACCATGATAATATTTAGTATTACTTTATCGGCACATATAGTTAAATGAAAGCACTTTCATCACTTCGTGGAAATTGTTAACTCATACCGATTGTTACAAATATAACCCAAATATGTCAGATTCATTTGTAATCAGCTCTACTTAAAGTATTTTGGAGTTGAATGAGATTTACATTTACTTTAGGAAAGGGTTTATTCTGGCTCAATTATGCATAATTAATTCGGGGTTTGTGTGACGTCACATATCTTTGTAATTTGTTTATAGATAATAATGTTCGTACCAGTTACGTCTGAAGTTAAATTGTGCAAGTAATAGTGGTGTATTGTCAAATACTGAATACAATTGCTGATGCAATGACACTGTAAGGAATTATGAGAAGGAGACTTTCATAACATAACATCACACCTTTTATCCCCGAAGGGGTAGGCAGAGGTGCACATTATACCACTGTACAATGTAACACCCACTTTTCACTATTTATGTTATGAGTCCCATGTAATAGGGGGTGAGCCTATTGCCATTGGAGTTCTTACATTTTTACTTAATTTGACGCGGAAAATTAAGGTGAAAACGAAACCAAAAAAAGAAATACTGAGCAGTTATGATAAATACCAATGAACAGAAAAAAAATTGTCGTACACTAGGTATAATTTCAGACTGCAAGAATTTCAAGAATAGTCTGTACAATAAGAAAGATAATTATTTTATTTTAATTTTATAACACAGGGAGGGTATTGGGGCGAGACAGGCTGGGCAGCTGATGATGAGAGGGACACTGCAGCACGAGCAGCCTATGAAGCCCTACTCCGAGTCTCCTTGAAGCTGCCCACGGGAGACAGGTTCGATGAATTTGCTGATGCTGTCAGAGCCAGAGCCAAGCAGCACTATAACTACTCATTCTCTGATGGTGAAGAGGTAAGCTTTTTGAATTTTGATATTAAATACTGAGCCGTAAGGTGAAGAACATGAATCACTATAGCTCATTTTATTGAGCTATAGTGATTCATGTTCTGTGTGTAATGTGAAGGTTAGGTTATTTTCATGCGGGTTCATTGTTTAAATACGATATTTTGAAAGTATTAAAAAGGGCTCTGCTGAATACAATTTGAAAGAAAAAAATCGGACGTTTTATTAGAAGTTTGGAGTTATGAGCAAAAAATTTAATTTTTATTGTTATTCACTAATAATTTGTTATTGCTAATTACATGTTCATTAAGGGTCGATTTTTCCAACGCACAGTTAAATTTTATCAAAGGAATCACTTTAAATATTTGATAATTCTTTCATACTAAAAACTGTCAACTGTCAATTTAATTCCACAGTTAAGAATTAACTGATTATGGAAAAACTGTCCCTGGCCAAAGTACTGTTCAAAATATAGCAAAAAGGAAACACCAGTTTACCAACAATAAAACCATGGTATTACAAAAAAGTGTTACGGGAAAAAGGGAAAAAATGTACCAATGAATTCGTAATTTACGATTTTCCGCCATTTTAGCCTCTGTGTATCCGTAGAGTGCGTGTGTGCACGGTTTGTGTCGACAGCCGTACACGGCTCACCAAGCTATGCAAATCCAGTATAAACTGACCGTTGAAGGTGAAAAAAGATCATACAAAGAGAGACCACTGTATATTGGTATTGTAAATCTTGATGTGTAGTCTGTATAATTCACTTAATTTTGTAGCGAAATTGAACGACAGATGAATATCCTTGTACATTTACATAGTCGGAGAAGAATAAGAATTTGTTTTTTTCTGTCAACATATCTAAACGTTTTGTATAATAGAAATGTGTAGAAATATATTATTTTGAGAGATCTATTCCAAATCGTACATAATAGAAAAGATGTCTAGGTAAGAAAGAATATCTTTTTTGTAAGTAGTTTTTTGTTGTGTTGTATTTTATTGTAATAAAATACCGAATTCGAGTATTAGGTTCACATTTTGCCTACACATCCATTTAGGAGAAAATGTTTTCTTCAATTTTCAGATTTTACTCTTTAATACTTTTCGATAGAGTTGATATTTGCTTAACACAGCGTATGGTGTATCAAAACATACATATCATTCAGTTTAATGTTAGAGGAAATCACATTGTAATGACTCCACAATTTGTATAAACTTTCAACATTTTCAATTTGTAACGTAACCTTGGTCTCGCTGACGTCACGAGGCGGACTACAATCTAGTTAAGATTGACCTCCTTCTACGGGGCCCAAAAAATAAGTAATTTGTTCAGATTAAATTTAAAATTACTATCTCTTTGGTCGAGTGGTTTTTAGCATGACTGTTGTGAAAGAGAAGTCGGTAAAATATTATTAGGTTCGTAATACATCCATATATTTCAGTTTTATGTTTTTTCATTCAATTTGTAATGAAATCCCTATATTTAAGCCTTTGACTGCCGACAGAAAACTGCTGAAGGCAAATCATCCGCTAACGTAGGTCACCGGTGACCTACGCGGCGGTTAACGTGTTAATACAAATTTAACTCGTCGAGTACCGGTTTTGTAGACACAATTAAAGAACAATAGGTCGCGGTCACCGGTGACCGCTTGGTGTTTGACAGTTTAAGAAATTTAAACTGTTTTATGATGATTCCTTTAAGAAAGCAATACTGGTATTCACTTTTTCTTTATACATTTTTCATTGCCAGGTCAATTTCTTCATCGGTGCCTTCTACGATGGGGTGTATCTATTGGGTATGGCGTTGAACGAGACCCTGACAGAAGGTGGAGACATCAGGGATGGGAGAAATATCACCAGGCGTATGTGGGGACGAGACTTTCATGGCAAGTAGAAACCATAACATGGAACATATCGTAGCATTATGGTTTTAAACCAACCTATTCTTTAGCTACATCTATCCGGTAACCTCACTGGCCTGGTTTTTCTCTGAGGCCATGGTACTCCAGTACTCCAGTTGAGCCTGCTCATTCGTGTCGAAGCATGGCTCTGCCTCATGAAGAGGGCTTCTTCTGAGTTACAATTAAACAACTTATTGTTTAATTTCATATATCCTTGTTACAGATCGTTCTTAACAAGCGCCTTCATTGCCTTAATACTAATTTAAGTGTTTTTAAAAATATGATATTTTTAACTATTAAGTTTTTAAAATAACTCCTCGTGTTTAATTACAATAGGTACCAGTAATTTACGCCCACTTATTCCTAAATTTACAACAGGAGAACAAACTTTCATCAATTGATTTATTAAGGTATAGAGCTTCTTTGTTGGTTTGAAATTACTTAAAGACAAATCAATGTAGAAGTAGGATTTATGAACTAGTTTTGTGTATACTAAAGTATATTTATAGATTATTTAAAACCATGTTTCTACTACACACGTAGGTGAATCCACAATTATTCGTTTAATACTAACTGCATCTTATGATCCCTTGATCAAACAACGCAGTTAGTCTTTGATTCAGGTTACAATAAAATATGGAGAAAGAATCACTTTCATTAATTGATTTTAGGACCAACCTTATTTTAGTATTTTTACAACAAATTTAAAAAAATATATCTATATTGTTTGACGCTAAAAAAACGTGACGTCACAATACACAATCTCGTACAAAATTCATAGAATTCGTATTTCTCCACTAACTGGATTCATTTAAAATTATAGCTATGCCTGTCAATTTAACTTAAAAATTTAACCTACAAGACGCCTTCATAGATTTTAGTCTACATCACTTATTATTTTTAATGCTTTACCCACACATTCCACGCTACATAACTGTTTGACCAGACATCTTTGAGATTTAGCACTATTGTATAAGATCACGGTGGATAATGTTTATAAGCTATTATCTGGATTCACACAAAGACTCAATATTGGCCACTTAATGATCTCTGACATCGTTTATGGCGTATGACATTATGTTTATGGCTATAAAAATGGTGAACTATGATGGACTCACGATTTATTAATGTCTATTGCATTCTTTGTTATTTTGTTGATTTTTCTACAAGATGTCTTGTTGGTCAGGCGCAGGTTTTGACGTTTGTATATTTGATAGAAGATGTTTTGTGATTTGCGATGTTGAAATACACAACGTTATTGTCGTGTGGAATACAATATGTCTGTGCGATTGATATAAAAATGGCATGGGATCTGAAACTAAAATAAATCAATGGAAATGGTTGAAAAGTTGAAATGTCATGGTATGATCAAGCAACAAAACTTAAGAGTTTATATAGTAATTTTTATAATTTATATTTTTTTATAAAAATTATCAGTATTTTTTATAAAAATAAAGTAATAGTTTTTTAAAAAGAAAGAGAGAAGTTTATATATAGTGATAATACGTGACGTAATGACGCAACAGTAATTATTATTGAAACAAACTAAAGGTATTGTTTGTATCGAGTAATTTGCCTTTTATCAAAGGTCACGCCTACGTATTTATTGTCGAAACAATGTTCTCTATATTTAACAGCTCTCTACGAACAATAAAGAGTCCATTAACACGGATCCCGGTACTGGGTCGTCAGTTAATATTATTGAAACTTTAATCGACACGCGGTATTTATTGAACAATTTATTTCGTTACAGTGTAACTTTTTCTACCTTTACGAACCTTTAAGGAATATAGAATACTAGCGACTCGCCCCGACTTCGCACGGGTGCAGTATGCATGTATACATATAAAACTTTCTTAAGAATCACTCTATCTATTAAAAAAACCGCATCAAAATCCGTTGCGTAGTTTTAAAGATCTAAGCATACATAGGGACAGACAGACGGCGGATAGCGACTTTGTTTTATAATACGTAGTGCCTATGTAGTGATGTCAAACAAAAAAGATGTGGAAAATGTGGAATCCTTACAGAATCTCTATCACTATCTGCTACCAGTCGGTATACTAAGTATTGAACTACTGGAATAACGCCCTTATTTCGTAAACATTATGAATGTTTTCCGAACTCTATCCCTATCATCATGCTTCACCTACTTACCAATGTACAAAGGCACGAAGGAACGGTCTTGATTGTTTTACCAAAGTCTTTGAAACTAGACAACTCGATAACATCGATATTGACATACTTTGACGACGGTTACTTGTCAATAGTTTGTTGTGACTACTATCTGTGGTTCATGATGATGTATTTCGTGTATTATTTGAACATACAAAATAAGCATAGTTATTTCTCTTCACTCAAACGTCATGGCATAATTTTTTCACCTCTCTTTCTATAGGATAGTGAGCAAACGAGTAGACTGGTAAGCTTATTTAGGTACTAAGCCTGTATTGAAAATTTGTTTCTGAAATATTGTTGTTCTCGCAGGCATAACAGGCCACGTGCGCATCGATGCTGTGGGGGACAGAGATGCAGACTACGCCATCTTAGATCTAGATCCTGTTACTGGAAAATTTGAGGTAAACATTGAATTTAGTTTAGGAATATAGGTATATTGCATTCTTTGTTATTATTCAAGTGTGGGAGAGCGACGCTTCGGCACGAATGGGCCGGCTCGACCGGAGTGATGCTTACGTTATTTTTCGTCGTGTGAGTAAGGTAACCGGAGGCCCAATTACCCCTCCCCAATTCCCAAAAGGCCAGTAACGCACATGGTGTTCCAGGTGTCCATGGGCGGCGCCGATTGCTTACCATCAGGTGATCAGTCTGATCGTTGACCGGCTTATGCCATAAAAAAATATTATTATTATATTAATGAATAATGGGCACACATATCTTGTGTTGATCGATATAAAGAAGGTCTTTTCAAAGTTATTTGAGTACTTTTAAAAGTATCAAACTGTCTCAGTCAATATTCTAGAAAACACCTATTCCAAAAATATACCAAAATAAACTACTTATAATAAAAAACGAAACTAATCAAAAATTATATAAAATTTTGAATATTAAAACTGTATTTAATAACAGTTTTGAAAGGCAAACTATGTTCAATACTTTGTTCTGACTAGTTTATAAAACTTTGATCAATCAACAGCTTATTTAGTGAAAATAAGACTTTTAGCCAATTCTTAGACATAACATAACATCACACCTTTTATCCTCAAAGGGGTAGGCAGAGGTGCACATTATACCACTGTACAATGTAACACCCACTTTTCACTATTTATGTTATGAGTCCCATGTCCTATTACAGGGGTGAAACTATTGCCATATACCGAGCACAGTTCTAGACACCGTGCTACTACTCAGAATTTAAAAAAAGCTTAGTTATACTTTGCCCGACTCGGGAATCGAACCCGAGGCCCGGCAGTCGCAATTGCGACCACTCGGCCAACGAGGCATTCTAAGACCGCATTATAAAAGGAGTTTTTGTTCAGTAATTTTGTTTCGTAATTGCTAAAATTAAAGGCAGCCTTTTTTGACTTTGTCTTGGGACCTGTTTAAGTTTGGGTCTATAATTTGACGTCTTGCAGTTCAATTAGTTATGGTTAGCGCCCTCAACTTAGTGGCGAAAAAAACCTTTTGATATTTAAATGAAGATAGTTTTTTGAGATCAAATGGTTCGATTTTCTGGAACGTTTCAATGATAATTCATTTTCTATGGAAACGGATCGGTGAACTTGGAACTGTTTTTTTTCTATGAAATTTGTTTGATTGTTTTAATACAATTTTGTGTACCTAATATTTTTTAAAATCAAACTCAAACTCAAAAGCATTTATTTCAATTAAACCTTAATTTGGTACTTTTGAAACGTCAACAAGTATGAAATAAATAATAGTCTGTTAGTCTGTCCGTCAGTGAAGCTAGGCGCTCGTTCCAAAATGTCGATTCGAGTGGAGGAGAACGAGCACGAAACTCCATTCGTTACTCTTTTAAAAAAAGTCTGTTTTACATTGCTCTGATACATATTCCAATATTGTACACACATGTGAGAATAATGTAAAGACATACCTGACGCAACATACAAATCTCACTTTTGCGATACTATGCTGTTTACAAAAAGCTGGGATCATTGCATGATCTACGCTTGTAGGTTATAGATATTGTATTGTAATAATAGAGGTACAATATGACACAAAACTTTTAATAGGGATTATGACAGGTAATGAAAAAAGATCAGACACGTATATTTTTATTTTTTCGTATAATAAAACAATATTTAGATAAAACGAATCAAAGTTTAGGAGTGGAGGGGCTAAAACGTTATTTTAGAGTATAAATCGGACTCAAAAGTGACGTCATGCGATATTTCAAATCAATATATCTTCAAAACTATTCGTATCCTTAAGAAAATAAAAAATACATGTCTAGTGTTTTTAAATAATCTACCAGACGAGCATTAAAATAAAAATTAGTCATCTATCAAATTTTTTGTATTAAATCCTCGAAGAACTGAATAATAATCTGAATTTTGTTTATTGGTTCGTTATCATAGTCATCCAGGTCCACAGTAAAATACGTTGAAGTTTTTTGATTTCCACAAGACATATTTGCTACTTAAATAAGTATCACTAAGTTTATTAGCGAGACAGTTTCTTCTAAACTACGTAGTTTGGTGGGCAGCATTGGGATTAAACTAATTACTTTGAAAGTCGCGTGCGTCTTCCAAACTAACTTTATTTACAGTGGCTTTGGACATTGTAGACCATTTCTTTAATTAACCTTAGATAAATACATTAAATTACTGATTAAATAGCATTACTTGAAAACAAAGTATTTTAGTTTAAGAAAAGTTTATCCGTTTTCTTGTAATTAGTGTTTGTATACTGGATTAATCACTGTTTAAGTATTTGTTAATAATTAGAGTAATTGTTGGACATGAGCCTCTCCAATGGCACGAGAGGCTTATGTCCAGCAGTGGACGAAAACAGGCTGTTGATGATAGAGTAATTGTTAATGTAATAGTGTTAATTAAATATATTGTATGAATTGATACTTCGTATCTTTTGAGATAATGTTTATACAAATAGTACACTATGTCAGTACGATACAAAATTGAATTGAAATTGCCTAACAGTATTCGGGAATAAATCACTTAAGATGATAATGTTTTTCCTTCTGTCCTGTATAATTTTATAAATACTTGAATGTATCAGAATAAAACACAGATACAGGTTAACAATAGTTATTGGTCATAATTCATCCAGGTGGTGGCATTCTTCCACGGCCTCAATAGCAGCTACAAGCCAGTCCCAGGTAAAGCTATCCACTGGCCAGGGGGTCGCCGGGGTCCACCTCCAGACACCCCTCGCTGCGGGTTCCTGTGGAACGACCCCATGTGCCAGGGTGGTAAGTATTTTATTGTAATCTTTTATTAAAGTGATTAATTTTATTAAATTGAATTACAAATAAAAGTGATTTCATTTGATTTAATTATACATGTACATATTTTATTTTAGGGATTTTTTAGCGATATAAGATGTGCATTTTAGTATATTTCAGTTAGCTATGTTTATTATCCTAGTACAATTTAATCAAATATAATAAGTAGTACTTTTAAAGTGCCCAGACATTTACTATTTAATAGACAGATCCTTTTATTTCGATAGCATTTTAGTTGAATATATTTTTATGCTATATAATTACGCATGAAAGATTCCAAATGGATTATTTTTTGTTAAAAACTAAAACAACTTTTTTAAATTCACATTTTATAAACTACATCGTACACAGCAGTGACAAAGCAAATTAAACTTAAAAAATACATAAATCGCAGTGTACTTTATAAAAAACTGGACAAAGGTATTTAGCAGCCAATTACTAGTAAGCTCCTGTCCAAGTTCATGTTCATTATTTGATTGACTTGGCTTGTAGTCCAATTACGTACATTATTAGATGACATGACAATCCAATTACTAACTATCATAAAGAAACATAGTACATAACAAATTATACATCAAGAGTATTTAATTATATAATTATACAGCCTACTGCTTCTCATTACACCTGACATAGTCGTAAAATAATGTTGTAGCTCGTAGCGACTACGCCGTAGCAGCTACGGCGTAGCACTCTACGCTAATTGAAAAGACTGATTAAATTTTTTCTTTGTGATTGTGAAGGAAGAAATTTTTAATACAATTTAAAGGATTGTAGTCTGAATACTTAAAAGTGGAAGTGAGAGATTTGAGCACGATTATGAAGTTTAGGCGAACGGAATTGTTGAAACTAAGTCTCGAACGAAACAACTTCTGTGACAAACGTACTAAGTAAAGTTTCTATTAATAATCTGGGGTACCTGAATTATCTATGGTGAAATTTTGGCTACCTAGATAGATATAGATACTTAATATTGAACAACGTAACATAATTTGAAGAGATTTTGAACAAACATTCTAAAACGAAATTATAATTTCACTAGTAAGTAAATTGATGTAACTATAACAGAGACTACATTAGACAAACAAGATCTCTTCATTACGTGGTTCTAAATTATTTATTATTTTTAATTAAACCGAGACAGGTTTACACAGAAACTTTTAAATTGCTTTAAGTTTGTAATAGTCTGTAGCATGGCTTGTAACTGAAGCTATTACAAACTCGTATAGGTGTACTAGAGGTAGAAAACGTTTTATATGTTGTTTTGTAAACTGTAGTAAGGTTTACATACGAAATACGGCTTCATAATAAATATATATCGTTACCTTTTTTGTTTTTTTAAAATCGTTGCCCTACACTAGGATTTTTTCCTGTGACATAAGTGCGTTTATAAACATACACATGACGCCTAGATAATGGATCCAGACAACAATAATGAATCACACAAAGAGTTGCTCTGTGCGGGAATCTAACCTGATAAAAATTCAAACTCTTTATTTCCATGTTAAGGTAATACATACAGGTCTTATGAAATAACAGGCACAGCTTAACGGCCTTTTTCAGGCGTTGCAAATTACGCGATACGCGTTTAGCAGCAGCCAGTTGCGTAGCCACCGCACTAACAGTACAAAGGTTTACGTACACAACACGTCTTCGTAATAGCTTAACATCACGCCTTTTTATCCCCGAAGGGATAGGCAGAGGTGCACATTTCGGCACCTAATGCCACTGTACAATGTAACACCCACTTTTCACTATTTATGTTACGAGTCCCATGTAATAGGAGGTGAGCCTATTGCCATATACCGGGCACATTTTTCCAGACTCCGTGCTACTACTGAGATTTTTAAAAACTCAGTAATACTTTGCCCGACCCGGGAATCGAACCCGAGACCCCTTGCCCGGCAGTCGCACTTGCGACCACTCGGCCAATGAGGCAGTCTTCTTCACGTCTTCGTAATAAATACACATATTTCGTGAATTGTGATCGGACATACAGAGTAAACAGTTATTTTTAGTTAATTGACTATTTGTAATTAGACAACACGCCTACATACTTAAACTTGAATCAAATTTTAATGCCCTAATACGTATATAGCAATTAGAAAACATATACTAAACATATTTATGTATGTGTTTAAATTAAAGCAAAATAATATGTACATAGAATAACTATCATCATTCAAATGTACAGGTTTACTGTAAGGTATAATAATATACAATTATTTCAAAGGACAAATTAATATATTTGACCGCTGTTTTCATGTAGAAGTACTTAAGATATATATGTAGTAGTATAGTAAGTATGAGCATACGTTATCTTGTAGGTCAATGGTCCGAAGACATCGCCCTCATAATTCAAGGTCGGCTCCCACAGCTTACCTTATACCTTCTATATATGATGGAGCACTATTCAAATCACGTGTTACCTTCAATATATATATTTTATATGGCATAGTTAAGTATCAATATTGGTAAAAGTATATTTACAGTGGATTTATGAAATTTAAATATGTTTTTACGTATTACTGAATTTTAGGTATTTGTAACAGTATTCGTAGGGTGTTTTTAAATGTTTTTTTTAAGTTAACATTGCGATTATCTTAGCCTGTCCGTCGAAATGTAAAGATTTTAATTATTGTTTGTGATTGTAATATTATGTTATGATTTGATTTTTATATTAATACGTAACATCTAAGACCTAATGTTTCTTCTATTATTACATTCGCTGAAGAACGTATATTTGAGAAAAAAATATTTTAAAGGTGTTGAAAGTTAAACCTGTAATGGAGAAAGTCACCATTAGCTAGTAGAAGCTTCATAAGAAATGTTTTACTTCAAGTTATATCTGGTTGTAAAATACGAACAAAACCTCACATTGTTGTCTGCCATGTACAATATTTGTTGCACGCTGCCCGGACAGAGGCGCAGACTGTTATAATCTATTGTTTCATCGGGCTAGCAGTCTTCCTCACCTTCGCTGTAACCGCTGCGTGTGTTGCTTACAAGTAAGTAAGCTGTCAATGCTATTATTATTATTACTAGCGACCCGCCCCGGCTTCCCACGGGTGCAATATGCATGTATTATACATATAAACCTTCCTTAAAAATTACTCCATCTATTAAGAAAAATCGCATCAAAATCCGTTCCGTAGTTGGACAGACAGACGGCGGATAGCGACATTGTTTTATATTATGTAGTGATTGTTGTTTAACTTGCACTCATATAAGCGGAGGCCCAATTACCCCCCTCCTTAATCTCCATAATCCCACAATCCCCAACAATCCTCAAATTCCTAATCCCCAAAAGGCCGTTAACGCACTTGTAATACCTCTAGTGTTTCGGGTGTCCATGGCGATGCCGATTGCTTACCGTGATCTGTCTGATAGTTTAGCTACTTATTCCATAAAACAAAATAAAAAATGAACATCACACAAGACTTAAACATGCACAGTTAGTCGAGTTACAAGTTATTTGGTATTCAGGTAAGAAAATAAAGGATTGATTCAGTGCAGAGACAGTTTGGTTTGCTACTGAGCTGACCAATGTTTACCAAAGATATATTATAGCTTCGATAAGAAGCAAATATTTTTTTTATGTTTGGTGTGTCGAAGTTTGATCACTATATCGCCTGATGGTAAGCGATGATGCGATCTAAGATGGAGCACGTCGTCCATAAGCAACCTATTCACTCGGATCTAGAAGACACCCAAGTTACTCTGGCAAAGAATACCACTTCTTAGCAGTCCGCACAAGGACAATATGTACTTTAACAATATCTAGCTGATAGAGAGATATCTCTACAGTACATTTTGATCGTTTATATTTTATTAGCGTGAAATTATAATTTTTTGTTTTGAATAAATAAAAAGTTTCTCGATTAGTAATTTATCATCGATTGACAAGCCAATTAAAGTTTGTATACATTCTTTTGTCATTTTATTTTCGACTTTAAGTCGTGTTGTTTAAGCTATAGAGTTCTTTAAAGTTTTTATTGACATTTACGTTGGCCTGGTGTTATTAATCTCAGCTAATGTTTAAGTTCGCAAACGAAGCATTATTTTCAAAGATTTCCAGGAAAATGTTGATCTATATTTAATTAGGTTTAGGTGCTTCTTCTGTGTTTCATAGACAACAGAACCACCCAATGTTTAAAAAAAAACTGATTTAAAAAGTGAAGGTTCTTCCTAAAAGTATATGAGTATTTGAACATCGAACATGAGTGTGCAAAGCAGTTGAAGTACACGGTCTCTGCTTTTGCTTCTACTTTACATACATACTTTACATTTACGTATTTATTTAATAATCCTTAATCAATTTTCTACCTTATTATTTAATCATAAAGTTGAAAATCTGCTTTTGTACACTGCCAATACAAGAGTTTACACTACATACATTGTTGGACTATTACCGCCTTTAATAGTGTACTTATTCCTTATCCATGTGTTTAACAGGCAGGCTCGAATAGACGCCGAGCTGAACAATACTTCCTGGCGAGTTAGACCGGAGGAGGTACTGGTCGAGGTTGGAACTGGAATTGGAGCCAGTCCAGCATTACACAGTATCAATGAAGTACTCAAGGTAAGTTTTCCCAAAGTACAGATCCTTTAGATTCCAGATTGTTATTATTACTTTATGTTTTGCTATATTTTTTGTAAGTGTGTGTGTGTGTGTGTGAGAGAGAGTTAAGTGTTATAAACTTTGTTAAAGTTGACTTTCGACTACGGTAAAGTAGAAAAGGCATGGTATCTGTTAGATAACCTAGTTTTAATACATATCCTAACTCAATTTACTAGAACCATTTCACTGAATCGAATATTAAAAGCACAAGATTCATAAGGAATAATTTATTAATAGAAAGGTTTCCTACTGCTGAAATTATAACTAAACTTATCTATTTAACATAGTAATTAAGTTCTATATTCGTTCGTACATAAACTTAGTTACGTATAAATGAACTGCCTTTCATGCTAAAAGTAATTATTAACCTTAATTCGTTTATTAATTACATTCCTAACTAACCTTTCAAATCTAATTATTGTTATTTTCGTATACATCTCTCACATATCGAATTCAGAATTTCGTTCGTGATAATCAGTAAGCACAGAGGGCTTAGTACAAGTTAGTTTTACGTCTCACTCACGCCCGCAGACTTGGCGATTGATTATCGCAAGACGGGCGGTTAAACATTCAGTTGAGTTCCCTCTCATTGTGGTCGTCCGCCAACTGATCTCAGAGGGCGCGGTTATTATCCGCCGCGGAAACGCGACCGCGACCCGCGTCTACCGATACAAGACGCTTGCCGGTGCAGCGGGGCCCGCAAACAGCCGTGCACGCCGCAGGCGTAAAACGTGTCGTCAAATGTGATTTAATTTTTTACACGTATAATATGTATTCTACAATTAAAATTCTGGAAGAAAATTGCATCGTGTCTCCTAAACGTAACGAGATCGAAACGGCACCGCATTCGGCGCTTTGATTGGTTGGTTTGTTCTGTGGTGCAAATGTCGTTTTTTCTTGTATCGTAGGGGCATCTCACAGACTCACATACATAATTTCATATACACATCACACACGGGAACAACTAACAAAGTATGATGTAGGAACTGAAACTCCTTGCGGTTCCAGCCTGACGCCCAGCCACTGCGCCAATCGTGTAGTAATAATATTGTGCCCTGCCTGCTGTGGCTACATTGTTTGGCGAGTGGTAGCAGGTGTAGCTGCCGGGCAAGGGGTTCTTGGGTTCAGTTCCTGGGTCGGGCAAAATGTTACTGGGTTCGTTTTTAAATTCTCAGTAGTAGTATTGAGTATGGAATTGTGCCCGGTGTATGGCAATAGACTAACCCCCTATTACATTGGACTCATAACATAAATAGTGAAAAGTGGGTGTTACATTATACAGTGGTATTAAGTGCCATAACGTGCACCTCTGACTATCCCTTCGGGGATAAAATGTGTGATGATATTATGTATGTATTTATTGCTCGTGACAGTTGCATTGATTGAAGACGTATTCAATGTCTGAATTTGGTTGTTTATTAATGATTCCAATTCCAATTAATAGAATACCAACCTAATGGTATCTAATATTAAATTGAGTTTGAGTATTTGAACTATGCTCGACTCCAATAGCTAACATGCTTTTACATTAATTAATTTATAATGTAATGTGGAGCTGGTAATGCAATAACTAACATTTCAGTACTGTTAAATTCATTTATTAATATCAAGATGTTACTAAATAGTTCATATAATAACATGATAAATAAACATTGATATATTTTGTTTAAGCAGGTATCGAGATTGTAAATATCTTTTGTTTTATGGCATAAGCCGGTAAACGAGCAGACGGATGACCAGATGGTAAGCAATCAGCGTCGCCCATGGACACCTGTAACAGCAGAGGCGTTACAAGTGGCGCAACGGCGTGCGTTTTGGGGATTAGGAGTTTTTTTTATAACATAAGTCGGTAAACGAGCAGACGTATCACCTGATGGTAAGCAATCGGCGTCTCGGAGTCGCGGAAAACCTAACGGGTAACTGGGGCTCCGGCTCAACGTGCAGGACAAGGAACGGGGTTGTTTTTAGTCAGTAAGAGTCTGACACTCCCTCCCGCCTCACCCAGGCGGGAGCAGCCATTCGATGATTTTCCCCACTTAAAAAAAAAAGCAATCGGCGTCGCCCATGGACACTCGAAACACCAAGGTGTTACAAGTGCGTTACCGACCTTTTGGGAATTGAAAATTTGAGGATTGTGGAGGATTCTGGGATTCGGGAGACGGGGACTAGGCAGGGGGGTAATTGGACCTCCGGTAACTTCACTCACACGACGTGAAACAACGCAAGCGTTGTTATATCTTTATATTTACTTGGTAAACAAATGTTTTGCCTATATTTTATGTTACGTTTCGTAATCCCATAACAAACATTTCCTAATGACAGTGTTCTGTTAATTAATCGACTCAACGCTAATTAAGCAATTTCCTGTTGTCTTTGTATGTCATATTCAGATGTTATTAACCTTTACAAAATAACTCTCTTATCTGAGTACTTATTGGTCTTTTACGTGGTTTACAAAAAAATATATAAATATTATTATTCATTTATTTACTTTAAAAAATAAACTAGATTTTTCTGTGTCACATAAACTATTATATCTACCTATTACACCTACTGTTGCACATCTCTGCGTCACCCCATGGTTGACTGTTAGAGAATGCCACCCGGCATTAAGTCCGCCATCGTATGTTTATTATACAGAAGTCTTAATAAATAAATAATAAAAATAAACTTGTACATCAGTTACTACACACAATAGGGTAGTCTAGTACTTAGAGATGGCACGATATTTAAGTACAATTTAAAATTGAGTAGTCTTTCAGTATCGGACGTTACTCACGTTACTCTTTTGTGGTACATAACCGCGTAAAGTTGCTCATGAACATGAGCCCCGAACGTAGATTGAAACTACACGAGTTTCCTTGTCAAATGGTTACGTAAGTAACCTGTAAATCATTATTAACTTAACAATATCGTTAATAAATTTTCTCTCTTCTATTTATAATAGCTTTCGCTGGGTTGGAGTGCTCGTGGCAGTACCGGCGCAGCATCTACCCTGGGCACTCCATCACTCACCCTGTCTTCCTTCACCGTGGGCCTCTACAAGGGGAACAGGGTGGCAGTGAAGAAAATTCACAGGAAAAAGTTGGATCTTAATAAGAAATTGCTCTGGGAGATTAAACAGGTGAGTAACAATAGGGTAGTTTCCAGGGTAAAAAAATTAAAAATCTAATTAGACCGTCAGTTAGATAATGAAAAAATATTAGACACGTATTTTTTATTTTCTCGTATAAAGTTACAATACTTAAAAAAAATGGAGTTAAGTTTAGGAGTGAGAGGTAATTACTTCAGAACGTGGTACATTTTGTAGCACGCTGTGACGTCACGTGACATTTCAAATCAATACATCGTCAAAAGCATTTGATTTTGTGAGAAAAGAAAAAATACGTGTCTAATGTTTTAAAATAATCTACCAGACGGACATTAAAATAAAATTTAGGAAACTACCCCTATTCACTGTGTAGTTGATGATATGATTGTTGTGAGCATGACTACCGGGTAATAGTCATCACTCACTTAACAAGCACGGCTCCAACCCAGCAATGTCATTGTCATTTAAATTTGAACTTTAAATCGTATGTTGTATGACATATTTTATAACGTCAATGCAAAAAATCATTTTGTATTGTGCCTTGCTGGAGCCGTGCACGTTAGGTGGCGTTGATGATAGAACATTTCGTTCTGTTTATGGCTAAGTAATATATTTACAACTATTTTCAATTAATTTTAAATTAACTTCGAAAGATAGACTGTACAGTACACTGTACGTCAGGTAATTGAAATAAAATTAATGAATATCTGATTAACTTCCTTTGAGCAAAAACGTTCATGTGATATTGTATATTGAACGAGTATATCTGCAGTATTTAATGAATGTGTACACAAAGCTGACGTCTCACCCTCAATTAATAGATTACTAATTACGATGATGGATCTTTTGCTCACAAATGGATGATTGATTGATTGATATTGTGTCATATTGGAGTATCAACTTTATTGCTAGAGGAGCAAGGTCGAAAACGTTGAAATGCCGTGTAGTAGGTATATCGTTATATTTAAAAGCCGAAGGTGATAAATGACATGATAGCTTTACTGGAGTATCGATGAGGTCCAGTAATATTTATTACTAACTTTCTGCAGATTTCAATAAGGGAAATGTTAAAGAAAATACAAGTCCAAAAATGTATGGAGCAAATACCAAGAATTTGGTTAAATACTCTAGTATAGGAACAAACTTTGACTTTAACTGCACGGTTGGTGCGGTGGCTGGGCAACCGGCTGTTGCGCAACGTGTAGCGGGTTCGATTCCCGCACAGAGCAACTCTATGTGATCCACAAATTGTTGTTTCGGGTCTGGGTGATATCTGTATGTAAACTTGTATGTTTGTAAACGGCGCCCACGAGACAGGAGACAATCCTAGTGTGGAACTAGAAAAAAAAAACCTAGAACCAAAAAATTACAATTATTCACGCGCTCATACAAAATTGCAGGCTCCTGGCCTGTCCGGTTATGGTTATTGCCAAAACGAATAGCGTATTTGTAACCTCTTAATTATGATCTATTATACTCTCCATTAATGATTTTAATCGACTCTGGTTTATTTGGGCATTCTTTTTGTCCATCTTCATATATCATATATCAAACTAGTGAGTTATAATAAAGTTATCTCTTTATAATCCTGAGTAGGTATAGTAAGTTATTATTGTTGATACATCATACAATAATAACACAAGTAAAACCACAGGATAAAGCGACCTACAATTTGAAGTATATTTTCAAGTGACTAAACAGTGTCTTTTACATGACAATCAAATGTGACGTCACAAAGTTGTCATATTACCTAGAGTGGTAATTCGAAGTAACAGAAGTTCTTGGAATCTGTTCCCGATGTTGTAACCAAATCTCTTTGAGGATAACTTCTCGATAAAGTGCATAGATACGGTAATTGAATATTGGATTTATGTTTGTCAAGTGTATCTTGCGGTGTAACTGTAAGCAATGTTCAATAATATTGAATTATCTTATTAGAATGATCCGCATTTTAGTCCCTAAAGGGATAGGCAGAGGTGAACGTTTATAATATGAAACGTAACACCTTAATATTGCCAGTTATGTTTTAAGTCAAAACGTCTAAAGAATTCGAATAAATACTTTGTCTGATTCGAGAAACACGAGACTTCTTGCTTTTCTGTGGGGCTTGTGGCCACTTGAACAACAAAGCGATTTAATGATGATAACATCTACTCCCTTTTCTTTAACCTCGCCAATAATAATTATGATTGTACTCCTAGGCTCGAAATGTGTCCCACGAGAACACGGCACGATTCATAGGCGCGTGCGTCGACTGTCCTTTGGTGTTCGTGCTGACTGAGTACTGTCCCAAGGGGTCCCTGAAGGACGTCCTCTCTAATGATGAACTGCAGCTGGACTGGAACTTTAGAACGTCACTGGTGCATGATATTGTGCAGGTAAGTGGATGACATTATCTATTACAACATTTCAAAGCAATTAGGTTCTATTTTTCTGTTGTACCGTAGTAACAACTTTATTTACCACAAATTCTTTAGACTTGATGAAATGATTGGAATGAATGGCAGCGGTCAATGATATCGTATTCTCGCTCACCAAACGGCGCTAGTGTAAACCATTCGTTATTCGTCCAATAGGGAGTGAGCTAGTATATCATCATTGGACGTTCAACATTTGACAGCTGCTGTGATTGAGCAAAAGCCTATTATAACATTTGCTTCAAATGGTGAGTCAAAAAAGGGTGCCATTGCTGTGGTAGAATGAAATCAATAGGTACGTAGATGGTTGGTTTAAATTAAACATGACATTGTTTAATTATGGCCAGGAGCCCACAGGTTTTCCTAGTTTGGGTTCCTGATTCCATATAACTATTTTAATGTCATTTAAATAAATTAAATCCTGTTGTGATCTAGAGATCATCTCCCACATGTTACAATCACATTATCGTATTGTATAATTAGCTTCTGCCCGCGACTTTCTACGCGAAAACCCCATTTTCCCCCGATCCCCCAGGATTTTCAGGATTTTTTCTATCTTAAGAACCTTCTCCTAATAATAACAAATACAACAAAAAAAGAATTAGTGAAATCGGTCCAGCCATTCACGTGTGATGTCGTGTTCAAGGGAAAATGGAATCTATTTTTATATGTACAGATTATAATATAGGCTTAGTATAAGACCTAATTCTGTTTATGTCAGATGGTGGAAAAAATAATTAAAAATATATTGTTATTGTTTCATTGCTTTTGAATTGGAAGTGACTACACAACGTTACTTACTTATAAAGGAAAAAGTCCAAACGAGTCTTACACTTGGTGTGTATAAAAAATGAAATCTCATACACAAAGAGCCATGTACAGAATAACAAAATAGGTAAGAACGGTGGGGTTCAAACCCACAATACATTATTAAGCTACCAATAACTGTATGCTGCGTATAAAAATTTCAAGATTTTATCAAGGCTACGCTATTGTAGGTATGTACGTCTTCTTAAATGAAGGTCAAACTAAAACAAGAGCAAAAAGACCATTCTTTGTAAAATAGGTTTCTTTGCCTCGATCGGTACACAGGTTATTAAATAAGGCGAATTATTTCGTCCAGTAAACAATGGCTAATTACTTGCGTAATAAATAAAATGATTTTCATACGGTTCGTAATACTTTATTCCTGGAAAATGTTGCTATAGGTCAGGGGTTCCAAACTATTAGTTGGTGAAGGACACCTTTTTAGAACATTTGTTAGGTTACTAAGTAGGTATTACTTCCTTCCATTTGGTCCGCACCAAGATTTTCTCCATAGTCGTAAGGCTCGTTTCCATAAAAATATTGACTTCAATTATTGAGGTCTTCTCCATAGATCATGATCACGATCTCTTCTCCATAGGAATCTACACTTTGGAACGAGCAAATAGCTTCACTAGAGGACTGACCTACCGACTGACATTTTTTTTCTTATTGTTTAATATTTAAATATTTCGTTGTGACGTTCAAAAGTGCCTTCCTGGTCTAATTGAAATAAATGATTTTGACTTTGACTTTGAGATCAGTTAATCCTCTTAGTTGTCTTCTTATATAAGTTTCATCCGACAACACCTCTGCCTTGTATTTTGTTTTATTACGCGGACCGTATCGTCTTCTGCGGACCACCGGTTGGGGACTACTGCTATAGGTTAATGTTTTTTGTAGTGTCGTGGTGACCCGGAGGTTTAAGACGCCCGATTCTTATGCATGAGCGTGCAGGTTCGAAACCTACCAACGGCAAGTACCAATGTGACTTTTTCCGAGTTATATGTACTTTCTAAGATTATCTAGACACCACTGACAAACGGTGAAGGAAAACATCGTGAGGAAACCCGGGCTTATAATTTCTAATTATAAGTTTAAAATCGCCAACCCGCATTGAGCAAGCGTGGTGATAAATGTTTAAACCTTCTCCGTGTGAGATGAGGTTTTGCTCAGCAGTGGGCATTGATGATGATGATGATTCTGTATAGCTTTATGATTCCTCTATTACTTTGATTGTAAATATATTTTTCATATTTGTTCGGTCTCTCGTTAAAAAATTATAAAACAGTTACTTGATTCAACGTTTGGAATAACAATCTTATTATCAACCTTCAAACTTAATAAAATAATACAACTTTAGTTTGATATTTTGCGTTATTTTTGTTTACCCAGAAAACATGGCCTTGGTTAGAAAATATACTGTAGATTATGTAGCAAAGTAAAACAATAATTTCGTTGTGAATATTTTTATCTGTCACCTAATTTACCACTTTTGGGAGTAAGAATACACACACTTTACAGTTTAACAACAGACTTAATTCTACCTACAATATAAAATCGGTCCACTCGCACTCATAATTACACCTCTGTCTATTATCCCTAAATAAATAGGTGTGATGTTAAAAGATAATGAGCGTATCCAAATTGTGGGGTGCGTTTCGTGTTAAGTGCTCCATTTTGTAACACAAGACAGATTTAATAAACATTTGAAAGGTTCTTAAGTATCTATTTTCACTTTGTGTTTTAAAAGCTTTCATTCGCGTTAAATAAATTATTACATACTGAATTGTATTTTACGACGTAATGGCCCGGAGGTTTAAGACGCCCGCTTCTTATTCCCATGCATTAGAGTGCGGGTTCGGAACATGTCTACCAACGGCAAGTACCGAAGCAACTTTTTCCAAGTTATTTATTTATTTATCATTTAATGTACACCATACAGCAGACAATATTACACATTAAAAGCATGACGTACGTCGTACATAGGTACTGCATTCATCATTCAATAATTAATCAGTTTTACCTTTTAATTTGTTAATTCCATGTTTTGTGTAGAGTTAATTATTAACTCTCATAATTATTATGTTTCAATGCAATATAAAACACATGAGTCCACGACTAGAAACAAGAAATACCTTTGCTTACATATGAAACATTTCTAGAATATTCGTTAAGTTGACAAACTGACTTTCACAAATGTAATTTTATATTCTGTTTACTGTTTAAATACTTCATGATATGAAACTGTCATAACAATGTTTGTAGTACCACTGTTCGAAAATAGATGACGTTGTGCCGTGACGTCATTTTCTGTATCGCGGTGTCGAGATTTTCCGTCAGTTCATGATCTCGGCAGCTTTCATTTTCATGCAATAAATTGTCTTACTCTGCTACACACTATTGCTTTATTATATATTGTGAGATATTTTTGAGACGTTGTACTAATCGAAATTATGCATATTTTTTATTTTTTTTTTATTTTTTTTTATTTTTTTTTTTATTTTTTATAAAAAAACGTTGCCCCACACTAGGATTTTCTCCTGTGTCGTGAGTGCGTTTACAAACATACAAGTTCACACACACATGACACCCAGACCCGGAACAACAATCCGTGGTTCACACAAAGTGTTGTTCCGTGCGGGAATCGAACCCGCGACACGTTGCACGGCAGCCGGTTGCCCAGCCACCGCACCAACCGTGCAGTCGTTAATGTCGTTAATGATCACTAACAAATCATTAGCAGGGTCAGCAATATGGATATTTATAAAAATGCTAGCGGACCCGACGGACGTTGTCCCGCATATCCACTGGAATGTATAAACAAAAATTCATTCAAATTAGTTCAGCTGTTTAGGATAAATAACCTAAACATCGACTGCAGCGCCATCTGCCGGGCTGATTTGTGAATTTAAACCATTCCCAGATCCCCTTGAACACACACAAAAAATTTCATTAAAATCGGTCCAGTTGTTTGAGTGAAGTTCTGTGACATACACACTCACAGAATAATTATATAATTATAAAGAATTATAGATAAATATAAATACATTCTCCGTTGTCCAGGGCATGTGCTACTTACACGGCGGGCTGGGTGCGCATGGCAAGTTACGTTCCTCAAACTGCCTCATCGATGGACGCTTCGTGCTGAAGATCTCCGACTATGGGCTCAACACGCTATGCACACCAACCGACCTGATAAAGGACGACACATATTATTACAGTAATTTAATATTATAATTTTATTAACTTTACATAGGTTTGAAATGCTGTTTATACTGCATGTAATAGAGGTAGTAGATTTTTTGTGGATGCTGTTTTTACAGATGATTATTTTTTTATTAGCTAGTTTGCAGCTAGCTATCTATACTAGCCGGTTTTGTCGTGCGGATTAGTGTCTCAGCGATTTCGATTTTTTGTTGCTCAGTAAAGATGAAAGTTTATAATTATAAACGAAATAACCTTTGAAATCGGTTCAGTTGTTTTGTGTGGAAACATTACAAACATACATACGAGAACATAAATGCTTTCTCTTTACAATATTGATATAGATTAGCCTATTTTTATAATATTATACGTACAATGCAAAAACAAATTCTAGAAAAAGAAAATCTTATTTATCGACCGTTGTTGATTTAAGTAAGCAGTCTGCGGTGTTAATCAAATTAGTGTGCTAGTTTGTTTGTGAATTAAGTCTAATTCAATATGTTTAGTGCTTGCGTATTTTAAATGATATAATGCAGTTGTTTATTTTACACAGTCTGCCTTACTTGCTATTTGTTTAATCAGCACTTTAGTGATTATATAGAACAGAGATGAATTGTGTGAGTGATGAAAATAAAATGTAATGTCAGAGATTGGAATTATAGCACATAATGTACCAACTGAACGTAACTTAAGATATGTGACGTCATCACACTATAAACTATTTTCAAAACGTACCCTGGGTAGTTGTTAATAAGATTTAATTTCCAGAATTACTATGGACGGCTCCAGAGCTGGTGGCCAGCAGCATATACCCTGGTGCTGCAGCATCCCTCAAAGGAGACGTGTACAGCTTCGGCATTATACTTGAAGAGATAGTCCTGAGAGCAGGACCCTTTCATAATTATACCACTACTATGTCTAGTAAAGGTTAGTGTTGAATGTTAGTTTTTGTGTAAATTGACTGCACGGTTGGCGCAGTGGTTGGGCAACTGGCTGCCACGCAACGTGTCGCAGGTTCGATTCCCACACGGAACAATACTTTGTGTGATCCATAGGTTGTTGTTCCGGGTCCGGAAAAAGAGGATCCCCTGGCCAAGCGAGGTGTTCGAGCCTGGTTGGCTTTCTGCTCAACAGTTGTTCGTTGGGATTTCCTATCTGTGTTAAGTAGGTTGTGACGTCATCAGTTGAATTGTTTTTCATCGATAATCTATATGCGTGAGCTGTCATTTAACGTGTGTCACGTGTCGTCACAATGGTTTAATTTTCACGTCAAAAAGATCTAAGTTTTAATTCATCAAAGCGAAAGGGTTTTTTAAATATATTGTCTTATCAGGGACACATAAATCCGTCTCTTGTTCGACTCAGAGACCTTTAAAGGTGTATAAGATATTGTCGCATATTGTTATAATTCTTATCTTCATTTATCAATTACTTCTATAAATAATAAACAGATTTGATATGATGTACTGAAAATCGTATTTCTTTACGTGGTCACTTTACCTTACTACACCCACAATTTTCCAACCAGCCACATTCACTTTAAAAAAAAACAAGTATCAGTTTTTTCAGGCCTTGAAGCTTTTGCTTTTAAATGGAATGTGACGGCTGAGCAGTTGTTTTGTAGGTCACTGCAAACTGTAATGGAACAACTTTTATTTATATTGTTTATGCTTTCACGGCTGAGCGGACAGCTCTGTCGGTAGTTCTTGCATTCATTGCGAGTTTACGACTGAATATTTTGTTCATTTAATTATGAATAGTAGGCTATTTGTAAGGAAGTTTCCATTGCTATCCCATCTAGTATTAAGCATGTTGTTTTTTATTTTTTATTATAATTTTTTTTATTAAGTGTGGGAGAGCCATGCTTCGGCACGAATGGGCCGGCTCGACCGGAGTGATACCACGCCCTCACAGAAAACCGACGTGAGGCAACGTTTGCGTTGTATTTCGTCGTATGAGTGAGGTCCCCGGAGGATCAATTATCCTCCCCTTTCCCAATATCCCCAATTTCTGAATCCCCAACGATCCTCAAACTCTTAATCCCCAAAAGGCCGGTAACGCACTTGTAACGCCTCTAGTGTTCCAGGTGTCCATGGGCGACGCCGATTGCTTACCATCAGGCTATCCGTCTGCTCGTTTACCGGCTTATGGCATAAAAAAAAGAGGAACCGTAAATTGTTACATTATGAAGTCTTACTAACTACATAGTTTACACAAGATACATTTTGCGTAATAATGCTACCCACAACACTGTCCACAGGTTGCCATTAGAATGTAATAAATACAGAAATTAATTAATTAATCACTAGAGGCCAAAGTTGTTTACAAAATTAAATCTATTGTTGTGTATAAAATAGAGTTGTAAATAAGTCGCATGAATTTACCTAGCTGACAATTGAAAATATCTTTGTTTTAGTAAGCGTCTTGTACTAAACTAAGTTTTTGAACAATTGCATATAGAGGTATATTTCGTTGGGAGTATGGACACGAAAATAACTACTCACTTCATGAATATAGTCTAATTTACGCGTTGGTATATTTTATTATATACCTCTACCTCACGAAAGCGATGAGGAAAAAAATTTTTGAATGCCGTAAGATAGCATTTTATTTTTATTATTATTACTTTTTTAAGGTGTAAATATTTTAGTTTTTAGTTATTTATATTTTAAGTTGTATATATTTATTTAATTTAAATTCTGTTAATAAAGTAATGTTTACGAAATATAATACCCTCAGCGCATAAAAAAATATATTTATTTTTATTATGATGTTAGGTTATTATTTAGTAGCCCATGTAGAAAGTTTAGAATTTTATATACAGTCAATGAATGTAAGAGTATATTATGAAAGTTACAAATTAGTATTAGTCTGTAATTTAAAAGTTTGACTAACTATTCATTCACAAAACACAAAAGTCTTAGCACTAGTAATTTATTATTGCGTAGGCGCTACGGCGTAGTAATAGTGCTACGAACTTTTTTGCTACGAAATCCGATGACAAATACGAAAATCGACTAAGGTTTAGTCACTAAAGTTGAATATGAACTCAATCATAAGTATTTGAGATTAAATATCAAGCAATTTCTTCATATTATAAATAATTTTTTAAATGATGAAAATAAATAAAAACTCATTACAACAAAGTTTATTTAACAGGGAAGTTAAATTAGTACGAACTCATCAGAATTCTGAAAATATTTGTCGAGGTTTTAAAGCAAACAAATGCTACTGCTTAATTAATTTAATCAACCTACTGAATAAACATACATATAACAATGGACAAAGGATTTTTGGCCACAAAATGGCTAAACTGGATTGCCTAAAAAGCTGTCGTTTTGTACGTTGGCATTTGCATAAATATTGAATAAGCTTAATTCACTTTTATAAAATTATTTATTTGTGACAATGCAGTAAACATTTTGTCAAACTTTATATATACACATTTATATAACATCACGCTTTTTATCCCTGAAGGAGTAGGCAGATGTGCACATTACGGCACTTAATGCCACTGTCAAACTTAAGTACCGTCATTGGCGTCATTATAGACACAATTAAAGAACAATACGTTGCGGTCACCGGTGTTTGACAGTTTAATGTTGTTTTAAAATCAGTATTTTTCATTTCTAATAAATTTCTTTTTAAATAAAATTTTTCGTGTACATTTATTATATTGGAACACATTGCATATTGTAAAGGATAATAAAGTATTTATTTCAATTATAATGAAATTTGATCCGCCACGTGGTACCGCAGTGATTTAGTAACACAACGAACGTGTTTAAACCTCTATTACCTTGTTATCACGATAAATAAAGCAAACTAAGTTATACACGATATTATAGTGTTTGTATATTTTTGTGATTGAATGAAAAGCCGGCTTCACCAACCTCATTTAAATTTTATAGAACCTATGTCCTAATATATCTATCATAAACTGTATTAAAAAACGGACTTCAACCCCCTATATTTTTAAAGTTGGCTAATTAATATACCTTCTCTAAAGTATAAAAAACACTTTTCTGAAAACCACTTCACAATTGGGTCAAATTGAGAACCGCGTTCTTTGATTTTTCACCGTCCTTTAAGTAAACACTTAATACAAATAAAACACTTAGTACAAGTACGAATACATTAAGGTGCTCCCTTACGCTAAGTATCTCCAAAGAGTTCTTTATCTATTAAGAAATGGTTTTGGTTGGTGAAAATGGTCCAATAAACCGTTTGCCATTTACTTAAAGATCTGGTAAAAACCATCAACTTCTATATTAAACAGAAATAGTTGGCCACGTGTGCGCTCGAGAGTCCCCACCATTTCGACCAGTTGTCAGTGTCGGTGAGGTGGGTGCAGCCGCTGGTGGTGGTGGTGGTGCTGCAGTAGAACTGCTGGACCTGGCCGAGAGGTGCTGGGCAGAGGCTGCCGATGACAGACCCAGTTTCGATGCTATCAATGCCAATTATATCAAGTACGTTGTTTAGTTAATTACTTATAACACATAAATATCACATAATCCACTAGGGTTGTGTGTAAGAGAAAAATAATGTGTCTTTTTGCTATGTTATTGTATAACATAAACATAAAAGGAATGTCAAAATCAGGGCAATATATTTCTGTCTTTGTCATTTCGGGTGTGACGTCATAGACGCATAATTTGTTTAAGAATTTGCAACTTCATAAATATAATAATAAGAATTTTGATTAATAGTTTATAATACACGGGTCATTATTTTAGTAATAACCATATTTTTTACAACTAGGGGTTATTGTGACAATCTAATGGACGACCTCCTACGTCGCATGGAACAATACGCGAACAACTTGGAATCACTTGTCGAGGAAAAAACGGAACAATTGTCGCTGGAGAAGCGGAGGTCTGAAGAGCTACTGTATCAAGTACTACCGAGGTACGTGCCTTATTTTATGTTATACTAGCTTTTACCCGCGGCTTCGCTCGCGTCACAAAAGGATAAAAGTAGCCTATGTGACATATACACAGTGCCATCTATACCAATTCTTTTGTTTTCCCTCGGGAATATCAAAATTTACCGCGATAAAAAGTACCCTATTATTTAATCCGGAATTCTACCTTTACATCTGCAAAAATTCAAAGTAATCGGTTCAGAAGTTACAGCGTGAAAGTGAAACAAACAAACAAACAGACAAACTCACTTTCCCATTTATAATAGTAAAGATCAACGAGTGGCACAGACATTCACAAACGAAAGTTTCAATGGCTACTGAGCCGATCCATAGTTACGAAAATTTATCAATTACATAATTTACCGCCATATTCAGAATCATTTAAACGGTACTTAACCTAGTCTTTAGTTTTTAAAACAAAATCGTTACTAAGGAATAGTTTAAGTAGCCATGTCATGTTTTTGTCTTTCTAATGGAGTTTCTTGCTTGTTCTTCTCCATTCGAATCTACATTTTGGAATGAGCACCTAGCTTCACCTAGCTTCACTGGCGGACTGACTGCCAGACTATTATTTATTTTGTATGTGTTGACGTTTCAAAAGTACCAAATTATGGTTTAATTGAAATAAATGCTTTGACTTTGACTTTGACTTTGAACTATACTAGCTATCATTACCTATCTCCACTCAGGCCTGTAGCCCAGCAGTTGATGGCCGGTGAAGTGGTACAGCCGGAAAGCTTCGAGTGTGTGACGGTGTACTTCAGCGACATCGTCGGCTTTACGGAGCTGTGTGCTGCCTCCACTCCCATGCAGGTGGTGGACCTTCTTAATGACCTCTACAGCACATTCGACAGGATAATTGGGTTCTATGATGTTTATAAGGTTAGTTTTATAGAGGTACTTTAATATTCTCCATTGTCACTCAGAATGTCTTTTAACTCCATTTTAAAACCAACACCGATTTTCGTATTGAATCAATGCTAATACGGAATAACAATTAATGAAATCCTTTATCTTATTATTTCGATTAACGAATCAAACCTCATGGATCCGTATGGATTCAAAACCTTTACCGGTAATGCTTGACTATGCAAATTGTAAATATCACAGTTTTTACTTGAAAAATATCAAGTCGTATCATACACTAGCCAATTTTCTTTATTCCTATTTAATAACAAAGGTGGAGACAATAGGCGACGCCTATATGGTGGTGTCTGGTCTCCCAGAGAGGAACGGTGACCTTCACGCTCGGGAGATCTGTCTCATGGCGCTCGCTATTGTGGAAGCTGTCAGAGGATTCGTCGTGAGACATAGGCCTACGCATCGATTAGAAGTAAATAAAATATTGGTAACACATCCAATTATAGGTTTTTGGAATAAAAAATATCGTAGAAGCAGCCCTATACTTCTTCTTTCACATATAGCTCTAGTTTAAATTATAAAACTAAAAATTACATTGGTATCTATCTGAAAACATTAAAATGATATTCTTATTATGCAGCTTTCATTTTAAGTTACGTCCATTATTTCGGCAGTACTGTAAATTACAATTTTTATTCTGTTAAAATAAGGTTCGTATTGGAGTGCACTCGGGCCCCGTCTGCGCCGGAGTAGTAGGGGTCAAGATGCCCCACTATTGTTTATTCGGTGACACCGTGAACACAGCCAGTCGAATGGAGTCTACGGGACAACGTAAGGATTTACCAAATTTATGAAAACAGTACATCACTCGACTGATCGATCAAATGTACCAATAAACTTTATCTTTAACATAACATAACATAATAACATCACACTTTTCATCCCCGAAGGGGTAGGCAGAGGTGTACATTATGCCACTGTACAATGTAACACCCACTTTTCACAATTTATGCTATGAGTCCCATGTAATAGGCGGTGAGCCTATTGCCATATACCGGGCACAATTCCAGACTTCGTGCTACTACTGAGATTTTTTTAAAAACCCAGTAATACTTTGCCCGACCCGGGAATCGAACCCGAGACCCCTTGCCCGGCAGTCGCATCTGTGACCACTCGGCCAACGAGAAAGACTTTTTCTTTAACTTCACTATAATTTTTCTATACCCTTATCTTTGTTCCCGTAATAGCCCAAGACTAACTAGAAGTTAGACTTTTAACCAGGCAGATATAGATTGCGGCTTGTAACAATTTACGTGAAACAAAAAAATACTATGAAAACAAAGATTTAGGTGACAGAATGAGCCAAACTCACGTAAGAAGTACGCTCACTGCCGGATTTGTTAATTACAAACTTGGTAATAAAGTTATGGAACCGTTATAAACGTCCGTCAGAGGATTCAACGTTTATTTCTTTGACTTTTATAGCGAGAACAAACAACTCCACTGTCAACAGAGTCGTTTTAATTAAAATCCGAAATGAGATTTTTATTCTTTTGTACATTTCGAAGAATAGTCAAACTCGGTGTTACTATTTGCAATTGGTATCTAATCTAACTTATGTAAACTAATTTTACCACAAAAAATGTAATCCTTTTTCAGTAGTTACTTTATTTAAATGTTACTTTTATTACTAAGACACGAATGCTCCTTTACAAAACAAAGAGTTTTGGAAACTCATTATTTCCATTTGAGTCCATAAGGTGCAATTAGTTCGAATTCAATTAGAAATTGAAAATTAAAGTGGCATATGAAATATTGACACTCATTCAAAACCCAACAAATACTCGTCGCATACCTTAACTATAGAGACAAACCTAATGCATCAACAAAACAACTAACGCCTCAATTTCTTCCAGCACTACGCATCCATCTAAGCGAAAACACCAGAGCGTTACTGGACCAATGGGGCACCTTCGTGGTGGAGCGTCGAGGTGAAGTGGAACTCAAGGGTCGCGGGAGGATGCTCACACACTGGCTGCTACACTGCTCGGAGCCTGAGGCCAGGCCACCCACACAAGGGCTCCAGCCCCCTCCGCAGTATCCTATACTGTTCCCTGCATTACCACAACCAGCTTTATCATTACAAGTTCCTTACTTAGTTGTGGAGCCTCCTACTTTAGCGGCTTGAAGAGATTATTATACTTTTGTATTGGTATGAGTGTATGGGTTTGTTGGTACTAAGTTTCCGACTGCCTTTAAAGAGTAACCTTTATTAGTTACAGTTATAGTTTCGTTGTGTAGGTATGTGGGATATTTGAGCTCAAAGCATTTTGTTCTCTTTTGATTTTTTGACGTTTGCCATAAATTCAGCAAAACTATACTAAAGAACTATAGTTCGTTTTCTATCACACAGAAAACGGTTTAAAAATTTTTACTGGGTCACAGCGAAGTCTTAAATTATCAATAAACAAAGCTCCCGTCAAAAACAATATCCAAGATGAACGCCCAACAATTTATATTAACCAGGCCGAGCGATAAAACATAAAATATGGAAGGATAAACCAAAAATAAACAAGTACATGAGTGAAAATGCTAATTTTATGAGTATTTTATCCGCTTTCCAGTAGTTAATGACTTGACAGTGATAACATTTACATTTTACAAGCTTGTACATCACAATTGTGATTTAACGAGAGGTAATTTGCATTAAATCTACTCGACAGTTCTATGTTATCTGTGTACAGATGCATTCGAATCGCATGTTAACGTCACTAGGGACGTTCGAATTTTGAATGTTTGAATTAACTGATAGTTGGCGCTTAAAATTAAAAATGATTGGACATTCTAAAATGGAACACTGTTTACTGTTTATGTTGATTTAAGTGGTTTGATTTTGAAATATATTGTTGGTCATTTTTACTTTTAAAAATGTAAAATGTATCATAAAGAATATTTGTATTGATTCGTGTAGCGCGTTTATACTTTTAATGTGTGATCAAATTGTTTATTCTGTTTAATATTAAGCAATAACCCGTTTTAACCTTTTTAACCTTAGTTAATTTGTTTAGTTATAAACATCAAAGAATATGATTAGCCTTTAAGCTATGCTTGGGTATGGCGGTAACGTTTTGGTGATAATATTACAGAACAAAAACACAAACAAAAACACAAGAAACAAAACTGGTTATTCTTGCCGGTAGCTTAAAAATATGATTTGTTACATATAAAAACCTATTCTTCTTTTAAAAATAGTTATTTTCACACAATTTCAAATCTTTTTATCTAAAAACCAAGAATAACATTAAAAAACATATTCATTTGCTTTATATAACTATATAAATATTTACAACTTAAAATAAACTCTTAAATAAAAAGAACTTTTTCTTCGGACAGAAAATAAGCATTGCCATTCAACGTGGCAATGCTGCCAGTCTTCTGGGAACTTTCTCCTGTGATAGTGATGCGGACGAATACTTTGACGCCTAAATTAAGGGTATAATTTTTGTTGTTTTCTTTTACTTTCTTTTTATTTAAAAAACACATTTAAACATATAATTTCTATACCCTCCAGAATTTTAACAATAATTTTGTTGAAAATTGCTCCGTGTATCCTTGGAGCGTAAAACATATTCCACGGTAGATTACACCTCATGTGCGTACAGTTTGACAAATGAACGAATATAAGTTAAAATTACCGCCGGTTTCACTGTACTAAAACATTCATATACTGCGGCCTACGTAAAAGTAATATTACGCCGAAATTATGAAAGAGAATAATATGAAAGTGTTTAGTTAAAGGTTACTTATCTCTTTTAAAAAGTATTATATTTGAATATCAATGTCTATGTAGTAATCCTTTTTTAACCAACTTCTAAAGAAGGAGGAGGTTTCTCGATTCGACCATACATATGATTTTTTAAGGATTCATGCTTCAAATCGTCTTTAATAGTGCGATTTAAAAAAAAAACAATCAGTCGAACATGGTACCTCCTCCTTGTTTTGAAGTGGGTAAACAACACTTCCTCTGTTTTCTTTATGAAATCGACTATTTAAAAAAAGAATGTAAAGTCATATTTCATAAGTATGATTCGATTTCCGTTTCGTTCGATTAATTATTTTATTCTTAAGTGTTTATCGTAAGAATATTTAATCGATAACTTCTGCGGCCTATCTCTAATTATTCGATGTAAATTGTAGTTTAAATGTAGACGTAAGTAATAAGATTACTCTTTTATATCATATTTTAAACATGTAAAAGAAAACTAATTAATTTAGAAATTCATTTTAATGTAAAAAAATATTGAACCAGAATTGTATTTTATTAGAATAACAATGTATAAATACTCGTTAGAATGAGATTTTTTTGAATAAAATGTATTATTAGATATATTATTTCTAGTTTTAGAGAATCGTAGAACACAACTCTTCATATTTATAAATACTTAGTTTAAAATATCGTTGTCCCTAAATGTCTATTTTTATATGAATGTTGAAAACAAAACTATTACTTATAGAATGCTTTTATTTATTTTACGTCAATTAACTGTGAAAAATGACAATTATTTTCCATGTTTGGTGATAAAATAAATACGAAAATTTATATTGCAGTTTTATTTTTTCACGATACAAAGAGAAACAGAATAAATGAATTTTGTTAGAGAGATGAATGAATAGCTGTTTGTGCTGAATACTTCTAAGAGGGGTGGGTGACCTAGACAAGTACTTAATTGGCCTGGACCAAGTCTACGAATTATACTATTTATATAAGCAAATATTATATTTGAAGATGCTAAAGCAGCTAATGTATAACACACTTTACTCTTTATAATCTCTTACAAACGCACACTCCTTCTCCAACGCAACTAATTTACTCTTCTTCACAATTGTATAATTTGAGGACTTCTTTCTCAATATCTCTAATAGAAATATTATTAAAGAAATCAAGCAGCCAAAAATAAGACAGAGGAAACAAGTGAGGGTCTGATGCTGAGTCAATGGCGAAGGATCAGAATTTATCGTGGGAACGTAAGTCGTCTTCAAGTTCGCTTCTTTCTCCAACAAACCGGTTTCTATCATCCTCGGTAACCACACAGAGAGTGGTCTAACAAATGGAGAGTACATCTTCATCCATACTACCAATGGAACAGTTAGTATCGAGTCTGGTAACACATGTCCACACTCATTCTCTTTCTTCCCTTGTGCCAAGCAAAAAGCAAAGGCATACTCCAAAGACGTAGCCAGCACAAACTTCTTCTTCCCTTCCAAAATTTCTCGGAAAACATCTTCAAACTTCACCTCAGGGATTATTTCAAAGCCATCTCTGATTAAAGGATCAAATTCGAAGTGGCCGTAAATGCCCGCCCTGCCACCGAACTTAAACCCACTGTCAATAGTTTCCTTCAAATTCACGAAATTTCCTGTAAGCGTATCTGTTTTTAGAGCACCAATGAGAACACTTTGGTACGCGTTTCGGACGACAAAAGTAAACCATATCCACAGGCCCACGATGTAGAAATCTCTGAACCTTCTTGGTGCTACTCTGATAGTCTGTCCAAGCATTGCTCCCCAAACTCTAAACGCTGCACCTTGAACCTTGTCAAAGTTCTTGAAATAACGGTTACAGAACTGCTTTGTACGCTTAAATTTTAGTACAAAAGGGAGGGATATAACTATGAATGTTACCACAAGGAGTATGAGCCATAAATACCCATTTAACGGTGATAGTAATCGCCACCACATAGGTCCGGGACCAACCGGAGGAGCCAGCCATGCAATACGAATACGAAAATACGGCATCGAATAATCTAGAAGACCTAATCTGTCGACTCCTAAAGGTATGGTACACGTGGAAATGTTAGCAAACCCAGAAATGACGTCATTTAAAGAATCTGACCAGTTCTTGGCTCTATCCGAATCTATGCTGATGTAATCTCTTGCTGATATTATGGGCGTAAAGTTCATGATATCCCGGAGCAACCTTACTATTGATTTCTTGATTATTTGCAACGGAATTTTCCGGTCAGTGCCTCCCTGGTGGTAGATTTTATTTGTCGATATGTACAAGGGACACTCGTGCATGTTACTCATTTTATCTGGATACATGTCCCTCAGAGACATGTCCGGCTTCCAATAACTGATGAGGGTCGGTTCCGTGTTCTGACAATTCAAATGATTTCTGTAAGGATAGTAAGTGAACAAAGCAACTTTATTCTTCTTGTCTTTCGTTAGAATTATTACATCGGTGACGTAATAATTCCATAGAATGGTAGTAATATGATCGAGTTTCTTGCGGTTTGAATTGATAACGATTAGGAACTTTGCTCCTCCATTAAATAGGTTTCGTCCTCTCAAATCGGACTTCAGTTTACTGAGTAACCTCATGAAGGATTGGTAGTTATCCACTATGATGACTACTTGCTTTGCAGGGTCTATTCCTCTACTTTCTATCATCACCGTTCCTTGATATGCCTTCACAAAATCGGTCACCATCTTATTATCAACATCATTGTAAAGAATTAAAGTCGATTGTCTGTAGTTAAAGTTGTTATTAGCGACTTCTATCGCGCAGCTGATGAGATCGTCTCGTCTCTCAGTAGAGGATGACATTTTGATGAAAACTATTGCAAAATAGAAGGTTTTTAAATTACAGAACATTTTGGGAACGAATCGGTTTGTGTCGGCTGCTATTTCCAAAGCGACTGTTATAACTTTTGTTAGAAAATTGATGGATGGCGAATGTTCCTGGCTGTAAAAGGTAATAAATCATCTTTTGTTTCAAATGTTGCGTTGGTGTTAGCAGACATTTACCATCTTTTGATGGATGCATGCAGCTAATGCAGTTGTTAGATCTAAACTAAACGGATTCCTGAACTATGATAAATCACTTTCGAATGGTTTCGACATTTGTTGTCCAATCTGTGTGTTAAAAATGGGTATTTAATTTTTATTGATTTTTAAGAATTGATAATAGTTGCATGTGTGGCGAAAATCGAGCTCTGGTTCAAGTCCAGTGTGCCAAACTATTGGTGTGTTTTTTCAATTAGGAAACTGTGGGTGTTGCGCTGCCGAGATTCATAACTCTATTAATTAAAATAGAAGGCCAGCCTATATAAGATCGTTCGGCTACTGTGCATGTTGTGACACCTTAAAATGTTGTGCATTTAAAATTTATTATTATACAAGGTGTAGTTTTGAAGCTGTGTCATTTCTCGGGGGCATGTCACAGAAGTCATAAAGGTTCAATGTAAGAGAAATTTTTGGCCCAATAGTTAAAAATATGGCTATAATAAATCATTTAAGTTCGACAGTATTTCAGAATAAGCGACAGCAATGTTTCTAATTGGAGTTTAATGGAATTAGGAATAATATCAATTATGTGTTTGAGTTTGTGTGTGTTCAGCCGCGTTATAAAGCTAGTTACAAGACGGCGGCGTACAGTTCACACTTACGGATTTCCGTAATTTACAAAAAAATGAAAAATATTTACCTAAAATTTTTTTTTTGATTCGGACTCAGAATCTATGGCCGAGGTACCTCCTAAAAAATGACGCGGCTATAAAACAACACCTTGTATAAGTGCCTAGATGTAAGACCTAATGTAGCAATAGGGTAGATGCCTAATTTTTATTTTAATGTCCGTCTGGTAGATTATTTTAAATTAATAGACACGCTTTTTTATTTTCTTACAGAAATTAATACGTTTGACGATATATTGATTTGAAATGTCGCGTGACGTCACTTCTATGTACATACATTCTATAAGTAGAAATGACGTTTCAGCCCCCACTCCTAAACTTTGATTCGTTTTATTTAAGTATTATTTTATTATACAACAACATAAAAAAAACGTTACAACAAAATATGTGTCTAATGTTTCATTTTCTTGAATTTCAAATTTCATTACCTAACTTACGGACTAAATAGATTTTTAATTTTCTTACACCGTCATCATCGCAATTACTGGTCGTCCAAATTATAAATAAATAAATAAGAACAAAAAGCAAAAAATTATGTTACGTTATTTACTACAAAAAAAACAATAATAAAATGACCGTCTAAGCAACCCGCTATCCTCATTTTTATGCATCACTGCGCGCCTGCGTATCCAACCGTGCGTTGCCATAGCAACAGGAATAACAACATAAATTGTAAACAAAACAGCATCGCCAAAATTGTATAACTTCCAATATTATTTAAACACTTTAATATTAAGATCATGTGACGTAAATATGACGTCATAGTGTCAAAAGAAAGTTAGGTCACCGCTTCATAAATAATACTTAATTTGAATACTCCCATTTATTATACCTAGAGAATTATTATTTTAGGAATTGTGGTCTAATATTTTACAAACTAAATTCGTATTTTATTAGAACGGTATTTTATACTACTATAATAAATATTAAAAAGGGTTAAAGCTAATATTTAAGGGTGATAAAAATGAAAGAGTTGTGCTACTTTACTTGGTTTTTATTAAGTTTTGATATGTTATTTGCAAAAGAATTGGAAATGCCGGGTAGTTGTCAACTGGGGTATTATTACGAACCTAGTACCCTTGGATGCCTGGCCTGTCCTGCTAATGCTTCCATGGTACCTTCTGCAGACGGTGAGTACTTACAAATACTTCTTAACTCACTACTATTATTCTAGAAAGGAAAAATGGCGTTCCATAGTCTCTGCCTATCCCTGCAGGAGACAGGCGTGAAATTATGTATGTATGTATAATATACTGATACTTTATAACATAACGTCATGCTTTATAATTATAAATTTTACCTTTTATAGAATTTTATAAGAAGTAGGCAGAGGTCCGAATTGCACATTATACAATGTTACATTCATTTTTCATTAATAATGTTACAAGTCCTACGTAACAAGGAGATTCTTCTATTGTCTAATACTGGACACAAATCTAGACTACATTACTGATTTTTTTATCAAATTAATCCTAAATATCCTTTATTTAATCAGGAAAAGAACCTAAGGGCCTGTTTCACAATATCTGGATAGCCGCTATCTACCAGATAAATTCGAATTAAGAACGCAATTTGTATGAACTATTTGCCATATATAAGTCTATTAGGTACTTTTAAAAAGGCGGTGAAACCGGGGCGCTAAGACTTGGTACACAGTCACTTTTACAACCATTCCACTATCTGAACTCACCAGTTCCATTTTTAAAAGTTTATTTTTTCTTTTTAGGTTTCGGATGCTCCTGCGGTGAGCATAGTGTGCCAGTAGGTATAGGTAGATGCAAGCCCTGCAATGCTACTGAAGTGGTGTCAGCTGATGGCTACACGTGTGTACCACGTCGCTGTCAGAACGTGTCTGGCAGGATCGCGTGCAGGAAGTGTCCTAATGATTATGTAACAGGTTAGATAATATGTTCTTGTGAGCTAATAGTAGATTAATTGTTGTTCATAGATTAAAAATACATGATATTAAGAACTGCCTCGCTGGCCGAGTGGTTGCAAGTGCGACTGCCGGGTAAGGGGTCTCGGGTTCGATTCCCGGGATAGTGTTACTGGGTTTTTAAAAAATTGGAATTTGAGTCTGGAATTGTGCCGGGTATATGGCAATAGACTCACCCTCTATTACATGGGACTCATAACATAAATAGTGAAAAGTGGGTGTTACATTGTACAGTGGCATAAAGTGCACCTCTGCCTACCCCTTCGGGGATAAAAGGCGTGATTTTATGTTATGTTATATTGTTTATGTTATGTGATAATAAGAAAGAAAATTAATGAAGGTTTTTATGCAATGAAAACAAGTTTTCTTTATGTGTAATCTTCGGCTAAGTTGGTAGACGTACTACTGACTATTTTTTATAGTGACTGAATATAGTTCAACACATTTTTTACTCAGACGCTTTTCCGGCACCATCGTTGTTGTTGGGGCAAATAGTAGTAAACCATACAACGAAAAATAAATAATTTCCCTACATAAATAAGGTTTATTATTCCAGTTACTCAAAACGTAGACGGCTCGCCTCTCAAAGAGGTTCAATGCGTGAAATGCGCGCGCGGCTTTAGACCAATAAACAACGTTTGCGCACGCTGCGAGTCGTGCACATGCGCAAAGAACCAGATCATTGTTCGAGGCATCTGCATATCTAAGATATATGTAAACTCTAGACCGAAGTATGAAGAGAACAGTTTACATCCACTGGCCCTTCTGGATGTCGTTAAACATGAGTATTTATGTATGGTAAGTGGAATTTGCTTATTAATTGATTAAGGTACTAATTAAATCTGATATTAGGTGGTTATTATCATCATCATATAAGCCAAATAAGGCTTTTATTATGGACAAGATGTTCACTGGCAGACATAGGCCAGTGTTTTCAAATTTTAAGCTACCTGCCCAATAATCTTATCACCTTCGTATTATGACGTGTTAAACGTGTAGATTTCAATCTATAAATGTTATTATTTAAGCATATATTTACATCACGGATCAAAGCAATATAATAAAATCGTAGTATTAGAAGCTTACTACGTCGTAGCCGCTACGCTCTGCTACATGCTACGCTGCCTACAAATTCGTAGCAAAAACGTAGCGATCAAAATACTATAATAACTAAATATATTATCTTATTTGATAGCAAAATGACCTGCGCGCATGTCACACACTAGCCAATGAATGTGTTAAGAACTTCTATTCGACTGATGCAGCGGGACCCTGTCGACTTTGGATACAACCTAAATTGGTCACACCAAAAGGTATAAGACTTTATTGAGTTAAAATTATTTTAAAGGTCTAAAGCAACAAACGTTTGGTGTAATATTCAAACCAGTAACTCTCAATAATATTTTGTCGACCAATGTCTCAAGTGAACTATAATCGGTGTTTTGGGTATCATTAATAAGACAGTCTTTGTAAAAATCTTAGTTAATTACAAATACATAACTTCACACCTGTCTCCCATGGGGGTTGGTAGAAACTATAGAACGCCAATTTATTTTTCTTATAATGCAATGAACTACATAAAAGTCTTAAATGAATACAATTTATATTGTTACAAATAATAAAAAAAAATCTCTTAGCTAAATACTAATACGAGTCTTTTGAATATAATTCTTAATTAATTAGTATTATATGGAGATTCCTCTATAAATGAAAAAGGAAGCTCGCTTTCAATTTATGATGAAATAATTTTTAGTCACACCCAGACTAAGGGGATTTATGCTAACTAGTTTGTGTATAAAAACTCTGTGGCCTTCCCACTACGAGTATAAAATTCAACCTTATTATGTACAAAATAAAGAATTGTATCATTAAACAATGATTGCAGAAAGTTTTTATACTTTTTTTATTTCATTTCAGCATTACCACGTCTCATCGTAGAATCGACTTTAGAAGATAAAAATCCAGGAGAAACTTATCTGGGAAGGAAAAAGGTATAAAAGTGAAGTCTTAATGTAATGTAATCCGTGCTACTACTGAGAATTTCTTAAAAAAGTACTTTGCTCGACCTCGGAATCGAACCTGAAACCCCTTGTCCGGAAGTCGTACTTGCGATCACTCGGCCATTGAGGCAGTCAAACTTGTTTATACTCTTTTATAACATACCCAATGCGAAACTTCGTGCAAATAAACTTAAAAAAAAACTAGACAGTAATCTGCATTATTAATTCTAAAATCTTATTTCAACAGGACTCTATACTAATAGCGGCAGCAGTGTTCTCAATAGACGGCCGATTTAAATTTATGAAGGACACAAACCAAGATCACAATACGTCGTGCCGTCTTCCTGTTAAAATTAGAATCGGCCGAGACTTCTAGTAAGTTCCAAAACAATATTTGTGAAAAACAAATGAAACACAATGCCTCACTCCTCGAATTTCTGAGAATACACAAAACCTTTTATCTTTTGTTCGCGAAAATTCTAAGAACTTTTAAAACGTCTGTTGTACGACATTTTAGGGCTCTCACGTCGAAATTTAAAAGGTAAAATTTAAGAAATGACCAATTACGTTCAAGGTCAAGTGGTATTTTTTTATGTCATAAGCCGGTAAACGAACAGACGGATCACCTGATGGTAAGCAATCGGCGTCGCCCATGGACACCTGGAACACCAGAGGCGTTACAGGTGCGTTACCGGCCTTTTGGGGGTTAGGAGTTTGAGGATCGTTGGGGATTTAGGAATTGGGGAGATTGGGGAATGTGACCCTCCCCTTCTTGGGCCTCCGGTAACCTCACTCACAGGACGAAACACAACGCAAGCGTTGCTTCACGTCGGTTTTCTGTAAGGCCGTGGTATCACTCCGGTCGAGCCGGCCCATTCGTGCCGAAGCATGGCTCTCCCACACTTTATGGTCGATGTTTTTTTTTTATTGTGTTTTCTGATAATTAACTGTGTAATCTACATCAACATAATGTCACACTAGTTAATTCCCAAAGTGGTAGGCTGTTGTGCAAATATATATCTATAGAATGTGTTATGTTGATATACAAACACATAACCATACAGTATGCAATGTCGCACGCACTTTATACAATGTTAAATATCATTATACTCGCTATACTCCAGATGATTAGCATGAATGTACCTGTGTGTAGGTGTGTGTAAACCTGTTTTAAGGATTATTTTTTTAATTATAACTTGTTTTAAACAAACGCGATCTTTTGACTGTCTAATGTCGAAATACTCAAACGCTACTCAACTTTAAGTCGCGCTTAAGTATAGTTCTGTCTCTATAAATTATTTTAAAATGACAGAGATGGCACGATATTTAAGTACAAGTTAAAGTTGAGTAGCATTTCAGTATTCGGACATAAGTAATTTACCGCAACCTGAATAAGAATGGAAGCTATGTGGCATTTTCCAATCTACTCTTGAAGAAAGGTCATAAAGTCATCGAACAATGAATAAAAATTATCAACAGACATTGATAAGTACTCACACTTCGAAATACCTGACATTAAAACTCAATATAAGTTGACGAAATTCTTTAATTCTCAAACTTGATCAAAGATTTCTTGTCCCTGTCCTCTCTTTTCCCTCCCCTCATATTACGCACCAATATTTTTATTACATATTTTTTATTATATCGCACGACAATCTCCGGCCACCATAAGTGGAGGTCTGCGGACGGCAAGCAAGGGTAGCTCGCCGTCCGACCAGAACCAAATCAAAAGTGCGCTTCAAACAGCGGTCAGATCACCGTACATGGGGGACTGATGTATAGGGCTGATGCCCGATACGGAGCCGTGGAAGGCCGTTTTAGTCAGTAAGAGTCTGACACTGCTTCTCGCCTAACCCAAGACGGGAACAACCATTGAATGATATTCCCCCCTCAAAAAAAGGGTACGCTAACCGTGTAGATTTTATATAAAAATAAATAATACTTAGCTTTTCCAATTTATTATAATTGAAACAAACTCAAGATATTATATTTTTAACCATATACGTTGAATAAAGAAAATAGCCTACAAGGCTGTTTCTCAATGATTTTTATCTTTAAAAGCTCGGGCCCGAGCCTTTCAAATATATCTCCGGAAATGGAAAGATAAATCCAATTCCTAGAATAAAAAAATAAAGTAAATAACGATTGACATTTCAATCTAGTTTTTATGTACATAAGGTCATTTATACACACGTCACTTGAGTAGTCAGTACATATCTGAAAAAGTATTTGCGTCCTGAATCGAGCGGTCAAGACTAGGTAATTTGCCGCGGAGGACGCGGGTTGCCAGGGCTCCGGCTTGAAAGGCAGGAGTAGGAACTGTTTGGTTTTTAGTCAGTAAGAGTCTGATACTCCCTACCGCCTCACCCAGGCGGGAGCAGGCATTCGATGATTTCCCCCCTTAAAAAAAAGACTAGGTAATTTCTGTGAACCATTTGTTGTAGAATAGATATTCAAAGTAGTAATAGAAGATTTTTAAACTTTTTTGTGTCTTATTCAGCTAGTGCTAGACGTTGATATAGATGCTCGGACATTAAAGAAATAACTTCAACGCTTGGCTAGATTAAACAAATTTTAAATGAGCATTATAACACATATCAGAAAAAATACACTTCTTTTTTCTTTTTTCCTTCTTATCATCTGTATTTCTTAAAGAAGAGTAATTAAAAAAAGTAAAATAGTGTACACGACGAAAAAAGGTCAAGAAATAAATGCTAAAATGATTAGAATTAGGTATACTTACAAAAACTTACTACAACAACAAAAATAATCCCAACCAAAGTGAAAAGTTTATGCGGATCAAGACAGTGATTAAATAAAAGAAATTCCCATTAATTTGTCTTTCCTTCATAACAGATCTAACCTAATTATTTTCCTGGATAGCGTTCATAAAACTTTATGGCCATTGGCTTTGTGATTATAACCTCTCTTTTTGTTTTTATATAATGACTGTTATTCCCGCGCGGTTTCACGCGTTGTTTGGCTCCTATTGGTCATAGCGTGACTAGCTGAGCCCGCGACTTCGTCCGCGTTGAAAAGTGATTCACAGCTCCTCCCCCGTGGTTAATAGCATGATAATATGTAGCCTATATGTCAACATATAGGCGAGCCAACCTGTTAGTAATATTCATGCAAAATTTTAAGTAAATCCATGCATTCATTTTTGAGTTCATCCCGGACGCATACAGACAAACAGACAAAAATTCTAAAAAACATATTTTTGGTTTCGGTATCGACTGTAGATAGCGCCCAAAGCATTCTTTAAAAAAATATTCGATGTCCAGTATTCACTTTCCTTCGATTTTATTATATGTATAGAAGAAAAGATAGGCTTCTTTGATAAAGACAAAAATAATAATTGAAATCAGAGACCTTAATATGAGTATGTTTTACGTTTAAAGTAATCGTAACGAGAACGCGCTCTGCGATCTGATTGGCCAGCACCAATGAACCAACCAATCAAAGCGCCGTACGCGTACTCGTTACTCTTAACTCGTACTAAGACCTCGGATCAGTAGTTTCGCAGCGCGTTCATACAAACAAATAAACTCTACAGCTTTGTATGTTAAAATTAAGTAAAATATAAGACTATTTATTTATTTATTTATTTACACTTTAATGCACACAAAATAAGGTACATAAGGCGGACTTAATGCCATATGGCATTTTCTCCCAGTCAACCTTTGGGTTAAAAGTAAGCTCAGCGAAAATGGGCTTGTGTAATAATTATGCAAAAGAAACAAAATAAATAACTAATAGCAATAATAAATACTGTATAACATAATGTATAAAAATATATAATAAACACAAAATAATAAAGACTAGGGTATTATAGGAAAATAAAGTTCGAATAGTTTTCTTTAAAGATTTATTTTATCGACATTCTAAAGTTGAAAGTTATCTATGACGATATCCTTATTTTTTTTGGTTTCGTCCTATAAGACATATTCTGTTGTTATATAGTATTCTATACGTAGTCTTCCGCACCTATTACAACGTTATTTTATAGGATTAAAGTTCAAAATGTACTGCTAATAACAAAAACATAGTTTCTAACAGCCGTTTACATTGCAGTCGCGATTGCATCATAAATGTATCGAAGCTTACCGAAGATTTGAACGAGACGATATCTCCTTATCTGTATGCTGAAGGAAAACTCGTGCAGATACCAGTTTATCCTAGGAAACCTAATGGACAACCTATACAGGTAGGTATTATATATTTACGGCTACTTTTTATATTTTTAAATGTGACACACTGCTACTTGTAATTTTTGTTAAAGGTATATTTCAACTTGAATAGCGATTTTGTAAACGGTTAATTTATTGACTTTTCATATTTCATTTATTTAATAGTTAGTATAGTATAGTATTTTGACCCAATGAAACGAAATGAAATGATGTTAATAATAACACTATGTATACAAACAAAAGATGTTATAAAAAATATCAATGAAAGCTGTTCTTGGCTATTAAGGTAAAGGCACCTAATTCCGCGCTGTTTTTAACATAACACGAAAGAACATTATAAATTAAGTATTTATCGGACCTTTGTGTACAATTTTATATTTTTATCAGAAGTGTTAGCTATCAAATTTTTGAAAAATTATTGCAGTTTGTCAGTAGAAGGTTATTGAAGCTGATAAAATAAATAAAAATATAAAAAAGTCCGAGGTACCTTATTCCGATTTAAAAATCGTAATTCCGATGCATTTGGTTCCTAATTCCGAGTATAAAAATAGAAAGGGAACTATGTAGGGAGAATTATACATGATGTTTAAAAGTCAAATCTGTTTATTTTTTATATTACTTAAATCAATTCTGTTTTTGTTTATTCTAGTTTTATTCTAAACCCTGTTTTTTATTAATATTATTCCTTAATCTTATAAAAATATAAAAATGAATTAACAATATCAAACACACACTCCAATTTTATGTATTTGTATAGATGATTAGTATTCTTTCAGTTACTAAACGCGTATCTACTAAGCACATAAAATAATGAACACTCTGTATTTAAACAGGGTCTTAACTAACTTCGGAATTAGGTTCTCATGTAATCTTATTCCGACGTAAATACATCGGAATTAGGTACTCATGTAACTTTATTCCGACGTAAATACATCGGAATAGCGTTTTATGATGCTAAATCAAAGTTTCTAATTCCGAGTACTAAAAAGTAAAAGATTTTTTAATATTATGCAAATAAAATAATGTATAGTTACAATATGAAAGGAAAACAAATATAAAGTACATACATATAATAACAGAACACTTATAAAACCTAATGTCTTCACTAAAATCTTCTATACAACGTATTAATAAAGTACCTGTACAAACAATTTTTGACCTGCTATAATTAGTAAATGCGACGCCACGGTGTACCTCGGAAATAGATTATTAAATGTATGAGTTATTCATTAAGTCAGAACTAACACATTAAAGTTTATAATCATAAAACAGACACCGAAATTTAAAAAAAACTAAATGTCTTTAAATTTGTTTTTCCGTGGTATACATCGGCTTTTAGGAACACACTAAAATATTTTGCACCTAATGCCGCGGTATTTTAAACACTTATTTTCTTGCTAATTTGCAAATAAAATACTCAAATCTTAAGTGTTTTCGATAAAAAATATTATCCTTTCAATATTTCAACCTAAACGAAAACTCGCGTTGTATAAAATTATTACGTAAAACACTATTTGGCAAATCGTAATACTCACGTGCATAAGGTCCCAAATGTATGAAGTGTGCTTTCGACGCCGCTCCCCGCGGCAAAATGACCGATTATTTTACAGTGTGACCATACTAAACTCTCCTTTGTATAAATAAATATGAACAGATAATTATTAATTCATTATTTTATCATGCAGACCATAAATAACTAGTAAATTGCTTTAAAAAACTGTTTTTCTAAATACATCGGAATATGGTGCCATTTTTAGAACCCCTCGGAATAAGGTGCATTTACCTTATAACAGTACAATTTTAAATACAGGGGGAATGGAAGAAAGGGCAAAGTTTGTGCACACACGCACAAGAAGTGCCTCGGTCTCTTCATATGTGAGAGTACCGATTACCTTAATATTAAAATTTTGGCATTTATTAATATGTTAACCCTCATTCTAATCTAAATAAATTTTACTAGTCTTTATTTTGTGAGTCTTCATTTTCAGTGAACATTTAAATGTAACCACTCAATATTAAGTTATTATTACAAACCATTAAATATAAATTGATGTATCTGTTTACAGAAAGGCACCTGGATTTCCAGTAAATTCAAACGGTTCTTCTTAATGGATGGATCTCTCTCAATAGTTACAAATACCACGAACTACGTATACTTGCGCACAATGGAGATTAAACTACAGTACGTATACTTGTCTTATTATCGAATAATAACAAAGACCGCTTTTCCACGAAAGAAATAAGCTTTGTAAATTTAATTTAATTACTTTTATTGTGGACAACTCAAATCCATTTGGTTAGTAAACAAACAACTTATAAAACTAGTGTTAGTACTTAAAAATACCAGTTACAATTGGACCATGTCAAGCAGAAAAGATACAAGTCCACATTTTACTACTGAGAATTAAAAAAACAGTAATACTTTGCCCAACCGGGAAACGAGCCTGAGAAGCCTTGCCCGGCAGTCGCACTTGCGACCACTCGGTTAACGAGGCAGGCAATGAGGTAGAATAACCCAATAACTATCCTTAAACTTTTAATATATAAACTACATTTTGCAATTCATTTGGCACAGAATTGAACGAGACAAAGCCAGTCCAAGCTCTCTACGAGTACAAGTATCAGTAGAACTCAGTTACGCATCGAAGTCACCTCTCTCAGAGTCTGTCACCACGACTTTAAAGGTGGTACATGTAATGCCTGAAGCTGGAGTTCATCGCGGATTAGAGGTGTGTTCTTTATTTAAATAAATCATCTCATTATCAGCCGTCAAGCTACATCATCTTTACTGTGATATAGGTTGTATAACACACTCCATTTCAACCTTCTGTCCTCGTCATCATATCACCGACAAGAATTCCAGTTCAGCTGGTCAAAAGCGACCTGTATAGCTAATCTTTGCAACCAACTTTCTATTATTAATATTAATTTTTGTCTATTGCTTCGAGGAGATTACACGTAAAATATGTGTACGAGTCCTTAAAAACTAAGCTAATAAAATATTCTATTAAATGATAATAAAATAACTGTGGATACAATTCTCGACAAAATTTTCATGTAAACGACTTTTCGCTTTTTTACGAAATATTTCCCAGTCCTCGGGGCGTCGGCTAAATAATTTATGGATGGCGTTTCTGAGAATCTGAAACAGGAAATAATTCCAAAAATTAAGGCAATAAAGTCACCATTGCTCATCAACACTTTATTTATGACGTCAAGTTTTGACGTCATAAATAAAGTGTTTCCTGACGTAAAGCAGGAAAGTGTTATTTATTCTGTACTTTTTAAAACGGAGATTTTAAAATGAAATTTTTGAACAATCAGTAAAATTAAATTTGATATCTTTTAAAAACTAGAACTAAATACTTTATAAACTTCAAGTGTGGGAGAGCCATGCTTCGGCACGAATGGGCCGGCTCGACCGGAGTGATACCACGGCCTCACAGAAAACCGACGTGAAGCAACGCTTGCGTTGTGTTTCGTCGTGTGAGTGAGGTTACCGGAGGCCCAATGACCCCCCCCCCCATTATCTCCCCAATTCCTGAATCCCCAACGGTCCTCAAACTCCTAATCTAACGCACTTGTAACGCCCCAGGTGTTCCCGGTGTCCATGGGCGATGCCGATTGCCTACCATCAGGTGATCAGTCTGCTCGTTTACCGGCTGATGCCATAAAAAAAAAAAAATTTATGGTTAAGTCGGTAAACGAGCCGACGTAACACCTGATGGTAAGCCGATTGGCCCCACCCATGGACACCTGAAACACCTGAGCATTACCGGCCTTTTGGGGATAGGAGATTTGAGGATTTTATTCGAGGATTTGGGAGACTGGGGAGGGCATCCAGTAATGAGTGAGGACTCATACGACGACATTCGAAAACTTATTCTACATTCGACTTTATAAGTACTTAGTCCGGATTTAAAAATGTATTAGTGTAGTGTATTTATTTATAATTGTAGATATGGGGCGGAGTGCTAGGCTGCCTACTGACTTTGTACGCGATGGTGCAGTGGCGAGGAGTGGTTCGTAGAGGAGGACTCTACGTTTCTGTCCTTCCATTGATGGCGGCTGCTATTGCTGACACCTTTTACTTTGTAAGTCAGGGTTGTATTTAACCGACTTCAAAAAAAGAAGGAGGTTCTCAGTTTGACCTGTATGTACGTATGTTTGTGCGCAATTATCTCTCGACTGTCTGAACAGATTTTGATGCGGTTTTCAGTAAAGTGTTTGTTACACTTAGGAGGGCTTAATATATTAATAAACCGACCTGAAAAAAGAGGAGGTTGAAGTTGGAATTATTTAAAGCATTCAAATTTTCAAATTATGTCCATCGTTTTATTTAGTGAAGTGTTTTGTCGCTTGTTGGCTTATTGTCGAGTTTAGATGTCTAACATTAGAATTGTCATTGATTTTTGTAGTTTTTCAGGAGACATTTCATTAAGAATTAACCTTATGATATGTTACTTATGATTGAGATATACTCAAACGTAGTCTTAGTCCCTTGTGGTATTATAGCTATATACTTTCCTAATTCACATACAGGCTGCTTGGTTCTCCACCCTACATGCCCTGGCGGCGGAGGCAGGTACGCTCGGGTTGACGTTACCACTATCAAATGCTGAGGAACGCATCATAATGGCATTCGTATACACTGCTGTATCGTTAAAGGTTGGCTATGAAAAATTACTATAAAAAAATACATACTTAGATATGATCATTGATCATACGGCTACAAAATTGATTTTGTTTTTCAGGCTGTTAAAGTAGCATGGATCAACTTCAACCAATGTCGATGTGATGTCTTCTTTTTGGATTGGTCTGAATATAATCCGCCGTATAAAGGTATGTAGACACTATCAAAGTCATATAAATAATACTTAAAGCCAAGAATACACTAGGGGATAAACGTCGGGTGAAGTAACGCGACGTTGCCGGACTTACGTTAATGTCTGGCAACATCAACGACGCTGAGGACATAAGGCGCGCGTTGTCGCCGTATATATTAGTCGGTCGGCTTCGCTTGATATAAACGATGATATTTATTTTATTATTTTTTACGATGATATTTATTTTACATTTGTCCTCTAGTGTATCTAATTCTCCCGAGCGTATGGCGCGTCGCGTTCCGCGCGCACCTCAAAGAGCCAACAGACCACCACGGATGGGGCCCAATAGGGCTGACCTAACAGGTTACTGGGGCTCCGACTCGAAGTGCAGGATAAGGAACGGAGTGGTTTTTAGTCAGTTAGAGTCTGACCCTCCCTCCCGCCTCATCCAGGTGGGAGAAGGTCATTCGATGATTTTCCCCCCTTAAAAAAAATGTATTTAATTCTAATTTGTTTGTTTATGTAATAATTTAAACCGATATTACGTAGAAGCAGCGACAGAGAAGTATAACAGTTGGAGAGCGTCGACATTAGCCAGAGAATGGTCCAGGATGCAGACTATGAGGAGAGTGTCTCCAGGGTATACCACCAGCTTAGCACTACTTGTGTTACATGTGAGTATTTACTAGGATAGGCAAACGTGTACATGTACACATACGTTCACTAGTTAGGGTACAATTCTAATCTCCGACTTAATATGTACTCGAAAAATTTATGTTAGTATGTAGAATAGATTCATACCTGAATGAATGCTTTTGAATTGTTAGTGTTTTTGATTTTAAAATCGGTATGTTTCGTACATTTTATACCTATTTATTTTAAACCTAATACACAATATGGATCAGGATAGTGTATTGATTCATACATCATTTTAAAATAACCGGCGTGACGTAATAAAAATATGTAATATTTGACATTTAAGTGAAATAACAGTCGATTATACAGATAATATTTGGTCCCAGGTTGCTGATAGCCTAATCAATTCGATCCCTGTCAAATGTGTCAACAGTTATGAATAAATGGGTGAATTATAGCAATAATATGACTATGTATACAATATTATTTGATATGGGTCTGACAGTAATCTCGGCTGCTGGCTGAGCCTGGGTTCGTGACCTGTGCCATGTGCCATATATATTTATTAGCTAATATGAGCTTTGATTTAAATATTCATTATGCCAAAAACACATAACGAAAAAGTCATTGAACATAACATCGCACCTTTTATCCCCGAAACAGGCAGAGGGCCACACAGAGGTAACACCCACTTTTCACTATTTATGTTATGAGTCCCATGTAATAGGCGGTGAGCCTATTGCCATATACCGGGCACAATTCCAGACTCCGTGCTACTACTGAGATATTTTTAAAAACCCAGTAATATTTTGTCCCGGGAATCGAACCCGAGACTCTTTGTCCGGTCATTGATTCTTGTCAAAATTAACTTTTTGTTAAATATTGCATCGCTATAAGATTTTCTTCTGAGTTTTTTGTGATATTTATAACGTAACGTACACATAATGTAGGTATTTTTCATGTCATTTTTTTAAGATTGATCGCTATAAATATAATTGAGTGTAACGCGTGGGAACGTAGATCAGCCATTTTGAGTCACGCGTTTGACCCCATTTAGGGCACACCTGAAGACACTATATATGCATAAAATAATCTTCAGCTTACGCGTTTGGTCTTGTACTAGTAGGTAAAAGATTTATAATTATAAAAATCTTCTGTAACTGATGACTGGCACATACAATGTCATCTATAATTTGCTTCACAATCAGTTGAACTTACCGGTCATGAGGAGAGAATTAGTTTTTATAGAACGGTTTTGTTTTTTGTTTTTTTAAAAAAACGTTGCCCCACGTTAGGATTTTCTCCTGTGTCGTGGGTGCGTTTACAAACATACAAGTTCACATACACAATGACACCCAGACCCGAAACAACAATTCGTGGAGTGTTGTTCCGTGCGGGAATCGAACCCGCGACACGTTGCACGGCAGCCGGTTGCCCAGCCACCGCACTAACCGTGCAGGTATAGAAGTTAACAAGTATAATTAACTCGCGTCACAAAAGGATAAAAAGTAGCCTATGTGACATATACCAATATATACAGCGCCATCTATACCAATACTTTTGTTTTCCCTCGGGAATATCAAATTTATCTGGGATAAAAAGTACCCTATTATTTAATCCGGTCTTTTAACTTAACGTCTGCAAAAATCCAAAGCAATCGGTTTAGTAGTTCGGCGTTAAAGCGGAACAAACAAACAAACTCACTTTCCGATTTATAATATTAGTAAGGATAAGGATAGTAAGGATTATTGATTACCACAGCTCCTCGCACCCTGGAGATACTATCTTCCCCCAAGTCAAGGCTACAAATGGGCAGTAGCCACAATAGCCTGGTGGAGTTCATACATCACGCTGCTGTCTTCCCGATGGGTGGTCGACAGGGCACTAGGGTCCCCGACTGCTGCCTTAGCGAAGATCTGCAGCAGTGTCGGACTATCGCTGTTGGTGTTTGAAGAGGAACACTACGCTCATTATATTCATGGACGGTAAGGAGGGCAAGTATTATGTAATGTAATTTGTGTAATAATAATCGGTCGCTTCTTATAATTACACATGCCTATTTTTTCGCCGATTTCCTATTTAACCCTAAGGTTGATTGGGAGAGAATGCCATATGGCATTAATGTCTGCCTTATGGACCATTAGTTGTTTCTGTGTACATTAAAGTTTAAATAAATAAATAAAACTTAAAAATATGAATTTATTGCTTAAGTTACTTTAATAAAAAATTCCTTATTTTGTTCAGTAACGATGACACCAAAGATTTGAGGTCTATAGCGGGACCACTAGCTGCGTGTCGGGTGGCCTGCGCTCCACAACTCAGGTAATAAAAAATAGAAATTGTTCTTAATGTCAACGTACTAGTAATTATTTTTTATATTTTAAGACTCTAACTTCTACTATAGACTTTGGGAAACCTATTCTTCTAGAGGGATAGAGCGTAAGAGGAATCGTAATCCAATTTTTTTATAACAGTTTTCTGTATAGTTTAGTAGATAGCTGTTTAAACTTCTTTAACTATCTACATGTAGTAAATATTATAATAGTAATAAAATAGTTGTTGTCTAATTTCAGGATTGTGTATAAACAGCTATCCCTGTCGATACCAGGTAAAGTAATTGTTTTAACCTCAGAAACTCTATTAGTTTCAAGTCATGAATATGAACCTCCAGCATGGCTTGAAACTAGACGAGTAAGCCGAAAAACATAATAATCAATTAATTCTGTTGATGATGATGATTGATGATGATGTCTCACGAAAGTTATAATATAAATACTTAATCTATATTAAGTATTTGTTATATTTTCAGCTTTAGGGGAAACTGAAACTAGACAGTCACTGTTATCCCGATTCCTGGCTGCGTTTTTTGAAAGGGTATGTTGTTATATAAATCAAATATTACTAGCAACAATAAAAATAAAAATAAATTTTGATTGATGAATTACTTGATTTTGTTTTCTTCTAGGCTCTGGACGGCCTCAGCTGGGTTGCCAGTGAACGCACTGTATTCGAACGTTTACTGAACGTGGAACTGAATACTAGAGAAGCTGGCAACACTAGTACTCTCCTTTACGACCCAGATGAGAGCACACCTTCGTGTTTTGCTGTAACTTGGTAAGCACAACCCGTAACCCTTATAGTTATTCCTTTTCAATACTAAAGATCACTCGTAACCAAACAGCATAGGATTACACAACGCCATCTTTTGAATTATTGTTGAACTTCTTGCAGACTGCAGACTTGACGCTAGCTCAGATATTTTCATGTAGTTGGGCAATCTCTTCAGTCAAAAACAAAATAATTTCCTTATCTGATTTTGAAGGTGGGGAGAAGAATGGTCCCTGGCAACGTTTGAAGCCATGCTCTTCGGCAGCCTGATGATGGCGACAAACGAGCCTTTGATAGCCGCTCTGGTCACTCTTTTAGTGTGGCAGGTGAGTCTTTGAGTGCATTTACAGCTTCAGCATTATGATTCAATCGTGTGTGCCGAGAGTAGACTACCCTTCTCGTGGATGTCGTGAGAGCCAACCAAAGGGTATTTGACAGTGGCATTAAGTGCCGTAAATGTGCACCTCTGCCTAGCCCTTCGGGGTGATGTTACGTTATCAGGTAATCACTCTCTTATATACTAAAGTTTGCCAATCTAATGTCTGCCAAACATGGAACCGTTTTATGCAGGAAGCATTGTTATACCATAGTTCTGCAGGGCACAGTCACGTGCTTGATGTGATTAGATACAAAATTAAATTACCTTGGTAGGCACCAACTATTGTTTCAGATTTTCAACCATTATCTGTCTAGCAGTGATTTGTTACATACAACATCGCAATCAATCTACGATTAACCTCGCTGCCATATATTATCGGTTTTATGTTCTTACATTATGTTTTAGAACCTAGAATGGTCATCTCCAAATTGGTATTTTAATTTAAAAATATTTGCAAAATATTATCAAATGTTTTAGGATTTCTGAGCAAAATGATAATTTATTTTTTGCTTCACAGACAATGATGCGACTACGGAGAGGATTCGGAAATAGGAATCAGCGAGAAAAAACTGATATCCAAATGTAATAAGACACAAGGAACCTGTCCTGTTAAGATGCGCTCACAATCTTTAGTTATACTTTTCTGGGCAATATTCTGCGGTGAAGTAGTCATCCCACGGAAAATAAGAAGATCTCGTGAAAGCGTCAGTGATAGTGACAGTGATAGTGATAGTGATAGTGACAGCGACAGTGATAGTGACTGTGATAGTGATAGTGAAAGTAGTGACGACATAAGCGATGTACACGACAATCAACATGGAATGTCAATTAATGTGGCATATAGCACAACCAATGCTCCACCTCCCAGGCATAAACGTCATAAACGAACCAAATACGTGAAATTCATTACTCTTCCTCCGCCTGTCCCGATATTTACAACGGCCCCTCCAGACTCTAAGTTACCACGAGGACCTTACTTCGGCTTCCTAAGAAATATTTGTAATGCATTGCTCTCCCCTAAGTTTAACGTTAAATACCTCGGAAATTATTATCATATACTCGGCAAAAGTCTCAGAGGATTCGGCATTAATTATATACAAAAATTATGGATAAGAAGATTCCGAAGAAAACTGGAAAAGTACTCTATTTATAACAGAAGGACGCTGAAATCGAAAGCACAGGCATTTCTGGACTTCATATCTGATGAAAAACCTAAAAAGATCGCATACTTCGAGGCCATGGATGCTATTTATACAATAAACGATGATAGGAAAATGGATGATTATGTATATTTACTCAAAAATTATGGGAAAGGAGTTGTTCGACATATAAAAGATGAAACAAGACGCATATTCGAGCGTATTATTTTCGGCAGATATGACCGACTAGATAAAGGCGTCCAAGGAAAAATCGAACTAAAATTTAAATCAGCCTTAGTCGAATACTGGGAGAACAGACTTAATAGAACATCTAATTATAATTCCACACTGGGCCATCTGTTTAATTTCACATTCAATCTACCGCGAAATTGATTTAGTCTTTCTACATCACTAATGTGAATTTGTCATATTTCCATGAATAGTAGACAAGCGAGCCACCGGTGCGGTGTAACCATGCGCTCGTTGTATTCAAATATTATTTTCCTCGCGTATTCTATCAATATAGGCACTGCAATTAGTATTCAAGGAATAATTGATACCAAGAACGTCAATAGTCCACTGCTGAGACTGGCATCTTGGAACGTAGATCCCAAAGTCAAGAGTGAAGGAATTTTCGAGAGGTTTGTAAGGAATTATCTCGACATGATGTCAACAGCGTTGACTGGTAGACAGGTCATAAGATTTTGCAGGATGATGAGTAAAGAACTGAGTCGATTGAATTTCTCATACACAGACAAATTAGCGAAACATTTCAGATATTTGTCGAGAATGTATCGCGACGATGTTACACAACAAATGGAGGAATATAGAAAAGAATACGACGAAAAGTTACCGAAACGTCAAGTGTTCATGGAGGCCATGAACGATATATTCACATTGCAGCATAACTTGAAGTTCGACGACTACATACAACTTATGGTGGACCTCGGCAACGAACATACTAATATACAATTGATACAAGTTCAGACCAAGAAACTTCTGGAAATGATAGTGGACTGCGTTCACAAATTGAGTAAAAAGGAGCAAAGATTGTTAAAAAAGAAATTAGACCTGGCCATTAAAGAATATAATTATTGAATAAGTTATCCGGATATCGCTACATAATGTACCTATTTATGTGACCCTCTTCGTAAGTTAAATGGACCGCCTTTTCGCAGGAATAATTTTATGCAGTACCTTTATTTTGTAATATAATTTCCTGTATGATGTATGTGTTGTAAATTAATAAATAAATAAGTTATGTAATTTAAAGTGCTATTCATTACCCCGTTGGTCGATAGGCCGTAATGCAAGTGGTACTGCCGACTCGGCATACCTATACCTAAATAACTCATTAATAAAATATCTCAGTAATAAATAGCATAGGATTTGACTTCGGTGTGCCTGAGGCATTAGGCTCATTCTCCATGATGGAATAATGGGTTTCATAACATAACTGGGAAAAAGTGATACTCCATTATTATGTTATGTATCGTTAAAATTGCTTTACCAATAATAACAGCACATTTTAGTCATAGTCACTACATTGTAATGGTTACCTACCTGAGAGAAATTATTAACACGTTCCAAGTGAATTACTTACAACATAAACTAATAAAGTCATATTTATTTATAGTAAGATCATAATTATTAATTTACCTACGTGAATAATAATAAGAAACTCCCAGTACATTACCTATATCTAAGTTATCTAAATTATCTAAATTATCTAGGTCTTTTATGTATTAAAATACACTTATCGTCCGCATCGTCATAAAAACCGTAACTTTTTGTTTTTTTATAAAACCGTAAATTCCCGAATGTAAACGAGAACAGACTTTTTGCCATAAACAAGTATCATTACTCTGGCAACACTCCGTTCAGCGACGAACAAATGAAATACGGCAACGTCACGCACGTATTGAAGTTGGTAGAGTGATTGTTCATTCGGCGTTCTGAAAAACTAGTAAATTTACAAATTGTAATTTATATTTTATATTAAAAATGGCAGATAGTAAAGGGTAAGTTTAAAATTACTTTTAATTTAAATGCACAATATAATCGGATGTATTGTTTTACAATAAATCGATGGGCTACTCGGCAAATGATTCTTCAAAAATTGGCTTGTCATCATGTCTGAGTTACAAACCGACTCATAGAAATCGAATTTTGCAAGTTCACCATAGAACAAAATTTTGTTTTATGGGAAAAGCTTATTAATTTCGATATTTGAAGTTGACGATAGCGTTTGTGCTGAGGACTCTTATTATGTGAAGGGTTTGGTTATAGTAAGTGACGATTGATATTTTTTCTTGTTCGGCAGTAATCCTGATGATTTATCGACCGCGATCCTGCGCCGCAAGGACAGGCCCAACCGTCTCATCGTGGAGGAGGCGGTCAGCGATGACAACTCTGTGGTGGCGTTATCACAGGTCTGAGCCCTTTGTCTTACCGAGCGGCGTTACGTTCGACATAGTTTCCATTGCACTATGGTCACCATCAAAATGCTTTGTCACCTACATTAATATTTGCATGGCAATAAACTACTGTTTCTCTTAGTTACCCATAGTTAGATAGCATGTTTGCATTCATATACATAATAATTATGTCAAGTACAATGATGTAGTAATTTTGATGGTTGGAGTGTCAGCACATATGCTCACACTCCCCCAAACATCATAACACAACCAATTAAACATTTTGATTATCATCATTTCATACATTACAAAAAGTCTACCAAAAGTACCTAATATGATAATCAGTTTGGCAAATGTCATTTACTAACAGTTTATTGACCTTTTTGTCTATTAAGTTGGTACTTTGTGAATAATCAAATCAGTTAATACTCCTACATAATTGTCTAATAGTTTCTGTTATGAAATGTTTTACAATAAGATAGGTAAATAGTCCTTGACAAAAAAAGGTTTATTGACTAAAAGTGACATGTCATTCTACTAAACTGATGTATCTTGTGTGTTATTGTTTACTCTATAACAACAAACAAAGAGATGAGTTTAGCTAATTAACTTAGTACTCTTAAAACAATTGTAGCTTTAATGTTTATCAAGCCTTCTAGTTTGATAGGTAACTAATTATCCTGTCAATTAAGAAAATCAAATGCAACATTCAAAAATTCAATATAGAATGTTGTTTCAGTAAAACTGACAATTCACACAAACGCAATTCGCAAATACATTATTGTTCTATTCTATACTTACTTACACACTTGTTTACCTTAAAACCCATCAATAATTCACACATGTCACTTAAAAGTTAACTGGCAAAAATTCGTAGGTATGTAACTAACATTGTATAAATGCGTCTGCTGGGATTAAAATCTGTGATATTAACAAGTAGAACTTTGCAAAAACTTTGTACACTAGTTACATATGGCAATATAGCATTTACTAAGCTACCACATTTGTATGAAAATAATTGCCAATTATCTTATTTTGACATCGTGAAGTAGTTAACCAGTATTTGGAATTCTAATATATTGAGAACTAAGGTTGGGCGTCACAAAAGTTGGTAGAATCAAAGACATACAATCATTTGAAAATATAATTTTCATGTTTCTTATACATGGAATTTAAAGTTTCTTGATCACATAACAATGTACTAGAAGGGCCAGATTTTCATGCCATGCCATATTTTATAAGTTTCTAAAATAGTTCCTGGCACTAGTTATTTTAGACAGGTTATTTTCTAGATAGATTTAAAATTACTACCAAAATATTTTTTTTTTTTAATGTAATTTTAATTATAATGCTGACTCATGAGTTTCATAATGTTGCACAATCATTGTTTAGATTTTTCTATTATTTGTTATTTTCAAACCCTGTTTCTTCTATTTCATTCATTAATCCCAATCTTTAAAGGGTTTACTTTAATTAATTTAACTCGTCGAGTACCGTCATTATAGACACAATTATAGAACAATAGGTTGCGGTCCCCGGTGACCGCTTGGTGTTTGACAGTTTAAATAATGTTTTATACTACATAATGTGACAATAGTAACAGTATTTTTTTTTGTAAGTGATCAAAACTGAACATATTAAATTAAAAAAACAATGCTACTGAAACAAAACAAGCAAAAAGCTTAAGTACTTGGAAACCAATGTCAAACCAGACAAGTATTATAGCTGCAAGTTTTCCTTGTACTTGTATTTTACTACAAAGAAACTACTAACATCTTATTTACCATAACAATAAAAGTCCCCTGCTAAAGTATGGATGCCCTTATGCCCTTTCTACATAAGAAGGTTTACTATAATAATAATCTCAATATTTGGCTGGCAATATTAAAAAATGAAAAATTAAAATATGTTTATTTTCATTATATTTTTTTTTTGTCAAAGCTTCACAATACATTTATGTATGGCTTTGGACCCCCACTAGGATTTCCTGAGCCGTGTTCGCCAGTGTTTTATTAAACTGTCAAACACCAAGCGGTCACCGGTGACCGCAACCTAATGTTCTTTAATTGTGTCTATAACGACAATACAGAACGAGATAAATAAAAAAAAAATCTTATGGGATCATTGATGTGTTATTTTAAATCTTGCATACAAAGATTACAATTTAACATCATCAATCAAACAAAAAATACTCAATCAAAACTAATCTTTGTTCACAGGCAAAAATGGAGCAGCTGCAACTGTTCCGCGGAGACACAGTTCTCCTGAAGGGCAAGCGTCGCAAGGAGACAGTCTGCATTGTCCTCTCAGATGACAACTGTCCTGATGAGAAGATCCGCATGAATCGCGTTGTACGCAACAACTTGCGCGTACGTCTGTCTGATGTGGTGTCCATCGCGCCGTGCCCGTCCGTTAAGTACGGGAAACGCGTCCACATATTGCCCATTGATGACTCTGTTGAGGGCTTGACTGGGTAAGTTTCTGTTTTTGATTTCATGAATTTTCTCTATAAGTTGCTATGTATGTGCATTTTTGTATTGTCATACTTTCAAAAGTTATTCACCACAGTTAATTTTGTTTCTTTCTCAACACCTACATGTTTTATACACTTTTCTAACTTAAAATTGTTTGTCACAGAAACTTATTTGAGGTGTACCTGAAGCCTTATTTCATGGAAGCCTACCGGCCAATCCACCGTGACGACACGTTCATGGTGCGCGGAGGTATGCGCGCTGTAGAGTTCAAGGTCGTGGAGACTGACCCCTCTCCCTACTGCATCGTGGCTCCTGACACCGTCATCCATTGTGAGGGAGACCCCATCAAACGTGAAGTGAGTTATCATTTCTTGTAGTTCATTGGTAATTTTTCAAACTATGAAAAGCTTTATTTGAGTCAAATTTGCTTTCCTTGTAGAACTAAAATGTGAAGTTCATAACATACATACAAACTTACTCATGAATCAAACTTAAATTTATATAAAAACAACTATCAAGCATATTTGGTTATTGAATCTGAATAAACGAAGTAATAAAAAATAAAACAAATAATTTACTATAACTATTCAAACAACACTATTATGTATTGTTAAAGTTATATATATAGGTACAGTATAAAAAAAATCCCACAAACAAGTATGTACATAACGTGGCCTTATCAGTGGGTAACACGGCTGTACAATCTCAGTATTGTTTGATACTGAGACTGTAGTTGACAGTTTATACTTACAATGGAAATGACTTTAACATTTTAGGTTTTAACTGACTGATAATAACAAAATACCAAGTGTTTCGGCTATGGAAACAAGCTTGGGTATTTTGTAGATGGAATTTACTTGCTAAGTTTATTCTTATTGTCGTTATATTCTAAATAGTTTAAAAACAGATATGGAATTCAAGTAATAAGTTTTTTAATGTCTAGAAATCTTCATTGTTAGCGTGAAATACAGAACTTATGTGTCCAGAAACATTATTGTTATTTTCCGTGTAAAATGGACCCCAGAAATATTATTGTTATTTTCTGTGTAAAATGGACTCATTTGCTAGTTTCTAGCATAAATGCTTTGAGTACAACTATTCCTTTTTTTATAAACAGGAGGAAGAGGAAGCTTTGAATGCTGTCGGTTACGACGACATTGGTGGCTGCCGCAAGCAGCTGGCTCAGATCAAGGAGATGGTGGAGCTGCCCCTGCGCCACCCATCTCTGTTCAAGGCCATCGGTGTGAAGCCCCCACGTGGTATACTCATGTACGGGCCCCCCGGTACCGGTAAAACACTCATCGCCCGTGCTGTGGCTAATGAAACTGGTAAGTTTTTATTACTTTTTGATTAAAACTGGTCTGTTTTGATTACTAAATTAACTGCAATATGATTGATTCTAAATTAATTCAGATAAACAGGAGGCATTCAAAGTACTTATTCCAAAGAAAGTTACTAAGAGTCATTTATTATAGCCAATATAATCAAGATTTCATGTTCTTTTGATTAGTTTTTTTTTTTGTTGATTCACTTGCACCACTTTTTTATCCAATATCTAATAGAAATAAATAATAATACCAGCTTAATCCTTTATACTAACTAAACATGTATAGATCTCAAACTGAATCAACTACAACAAAATATCTGATATTGTCCATCAGGTGCCTTCTTCTTCTTGATCAACGGACCGGAGATCATGTCCAAACTGGCTGGTGAATCTGAGTCGAACTTGCGTAAGGCATTCGAGGAGGCTGACAAGAACTCTCCGGCTATCATCTTTATTGATGAGCTGGATGCTATTGCACCCAAGAGGGAGAAGACTCACGGAGAGGTGGAGCGTAGGATTGTGTCCCAACTGCTGACACTTATGGATGGTAAGTTTAATACTTATTTACTTAATGTTTCGAACTACTGATGTCAGACAGATTCAAATTTTTTTTTTGGAATGTTTAAAATCGTTATCACGCCATCGTTACTGTGTCGTTATCATTTTACGTCAATACATTTCCAAGTGTTTTAATGATACTATCATTATTTTTTGATGCTCTGGTTATTATTAGAGAAATTAATAAGTATCTAATTTAGTCTTGGGCTCTAAACTTAACTTTAAAAATGATACAAGATTTAGAAATAAAAAAATATTAACTCCAAAACTGACTGTCTCGTGGGCCGAGTGGTCACAAGTGCGAATGCCGAGCAAGGGGTCTCGAGTTAGATTCCCGGGGCGGGCAAAGTATTACAGGGTTTTAAAAAAAATTTCAGTAGTGGCACGGAGCCTGGAAATGTGGCCGGTTTATGGCAATAGGCTCACCCCCTATTACATGAGACTCATAACATTAATAGTGAAAACTGCCTACCCCTTCGGGGATAAAAGGCGTTATGTTACAATAACTGCAAAATCATTCTAATGTTGATGCTTAAGGTTATAAAGTTGTTATAATATTAGTCATTCATCCAAAAATGTTTCTTTAGGTATGAAGAAGTCATCGCACGTCATCGTAATGGCGGCCACAAACCGTCCGAACTCGATCGACCCTGCACTGCGTCGTTTCGGTCGCTTCGACCGTGAGATCGACATCGGTATTCCTGATGCTACCGGCAGGTTGGAGATCTTGCGTATCCACACCAAGAACATGAAGCTTGGCGATGATGTCGACTTGGAACAGGTGAGGATTAACCCCTCCAGTGTCTAATGGATGTGTGCATTGCGGAAGATTTACCTTCAACACTTCCTAGCCACAGAGACTAAACAATTAATTACATAACAATTTAATAATGTTCAGAACTCATATGTCATAAAAAATATGTGGAATTCCTATGTAGGTATAGTTCATTCTAATAAGACATAAAAAAATACATACATCATTCTAAAACAACATACATTGTTTCTATAGATCGCAGCAGAATCTCACGGTCACGTGGGCGCTGACTTGGCGTCGCTGTGCTCGGAGGCAGCTCTCCAACAGATCCGTGAGAAGATGGACCTCATCGATCTCGAGGACGACCAGATTGACGCCGAGGTTCTCAACTCCCTCGCCGTCTCCATGGACAACTTCCGGGTAAGTTTTCTCAATGTTAGAAATAAACTCATTTCGTTTGCTATTAGTGATGAATAGTGGTGAGCAGACTAAAAAGATTGATCTTGTCTACCAAGCTGTGATGGATCTTCGGTTCATTTTTAGGAAGCCAGGTGGACTAGCATTTTGGTATTACTTCTCAACTTTGACATGAAGGAATTTTTATGTTACAATTTACACTTAGTTGTAAAATGTAGCATATAAACATCCTGTGTCATAAATGAACTTGCAAATAATGCAAGAAACTAAAACATACTATTCGTATTATTCAGTATGCGATGACCAAATCATCGCCGTCGGCTCTGCGCGAGACTGTGGTGGAAGTGCCGAACGTGACGTGGGGAGATATCGGAGGCCTGCAGAACGTCAAGCGCGAGCTGCAGGAGTTGGTCCAGTACCCGGTGGAGCACCCTGACAAGTTCCTCAAGTTCGGCATGCAGCCTTCAAGGGGTGTGCTCTTCTATGGTCCACCTGGTTGTGGTAAGTTGAATTTTTATTTATACTTCTGTTTCTTAACTGTACTTAAACATTTCATTTCGAGTCGCGATTTATGAAGTAAAGGTTTCCCCTACGTGCCAGTTTCACTTTACACTCGAAATGCATTAAAAACGTAATATGTTAATTTAAAATTGACATTTTCTATTACTTTTTGGCTAGTCGCTAGCCGAAAACATACAAAAAAAAATTACACGTCGGCAATTAGCTACCAATCATCAAGGTTCACTTCTCATCCAGTTGTTAAACTACAAAACAGGATTTAATATTGTACTCAAGTATAACTTTGTCTGAAAACAGGTAAGACTCTGTTGGCCAAGGCTATCGCCAACGAGTGCCAGGCCAATTTCATCTCTGTCAAGGGCCCTGAACTGCTCACCATGTGGTTCGGTGAATCCGAGGCTAACGTGCGAGACATCTTCGACAAGGTATGTCATGCTATGTAATAGGTTTTGAACTATTCGACCCAAATCTTATAGGTTTCTTAGACCATAACTTGTTTTGTTGACTAGCTGTATTTGGGATTAATCCCATAGCTAGTCTGAAGAACCCAGTTGTAGATATAGAATTTTTGTATAAGTTATATCTCTAGTAAGCAAATGATACAGATCGATAGGGTATTCAAAGTGGTCGTAAAAAGACATTACAAGAAAGACAAAAAGACATGAATGTAGATAAATTCCCAAATCTCCTAACATTTGTTTTTGTACAATAGGCCCGATCAGCGTCTCCCTGTGTTCTATTCTTCGACGAGCTGGACTCGATCGCCAAGTCTCGTGGAGGCTCAGTGTCGGATGCAGGCGGCGCGGCCGACCGTGTCATCAACCAGATCCTGACTGAGATGGACGGTATGGGCGCTAAGAAGAACGTCTTCATCATTGGTGAGTCACTGGACTTATTTTAAGATTGTTTGTATTGTAAAGAAGTAGTGAAACAAGCCCTAAGTATTGCATTGTGCCTGTATAGCCTTCTAAAATAATAGATCAGATTAATAATTACGAGAGTTATCACTTCGATAGAATTAGCAAATACAATTCTATTTTTATTACAATATTTTTATAGACTTAATTAGACAAAAATCAAAACGAATGTACGTATTTTGCATGTTAGGCGCGACAAACCGTCCGGATATCATCGACCCGGCCATCCTTCGACCGGGTCGTCTGGACCAGCTGATCTACATCCCACTGCCCGACGAGAAGTCGCGTGAGGCCATCCTCCGCGCCAACCTGCGCAAGTCGCCCATCGCCAAGGATGTCGATCTCTCATACATCGCTAAGGTAACATTTTCATAAATACTGAACAAACATTGAAGTAATTGTGTTAATTGAAGAAAATAAGGTGCTTTATTGATTTTATTAGACCAGTCTGATAATACTACCTAATCATTATACTCTTAGTCCAATTATATACTGTCACTGAGCAAATACATCATTATATATGACACAAACTGTATTGTTGATAATATCTAATTGTTGTTAAGATAGAATCCATATTGATGTACAAAATAAATTACTATCTTTCATTGTGTGCGTCATCTATCGTAATAAAACACGAAACATTGGTATTTGCAGGTGACACAAGGGTTCAGTGGTGCTGACCTGACAGAGATCTGCCAGCGCGCGTGCAAGTTGGCCATCCGACAGGCCATCGAGGCTGAGATCCAACGCGAGCGCACTCGTCAGCAACAGACTGCCGCCGCTGTCATGGATGTAAGTAATTCGAGTTCATCTATTAGCTAAAAAAAGTTAATAAATAGGTCTCATTCAAAAGTTATTTGATTGAAACATCCGTATATTCTCAATGAATTGCTTAAAAATTATGGTGTGTATAACTTTCCTTTATTTCCGTTCCCTTTTTCCCGTTTTTGTGTCCTATCTGTTAAACTGGTTTGTACTTGGGGACAAATAATCTTGTTTCAATAAATAGATGGACGAAGAGGACCCCGTACCTGAGATCAGCCGCGCCCACTTCGAGGAGGCCATGAAGTTCGCTCGCCGCTCCGTCTCAGACAACGACATCCGCAAGTACGAGATGTTCGCGCAGACATTGCAGCAGAGCAGGGGATTCGGCACCAACTTCAGGTAATTATAATACAGAGTGCACTGTTTACAAGAGGTCTTACTCCTGACCTGTCAATAGTTTTAGAGTCATCATTTAGTTTGAACTACATTTGATTGAATTTTACATTGATTTCTACATGAAGCGACTGTCTTGTGCCCTTAACAATCTGCTTAGTTGACTTGATTCTAGGTTAGACTTGAGTCACAAAGATTGTCGTTGTAAGCCATAACCGTGCAGTCATTCTGAATTGAATAAATGTGCTACGAACTTAGTAACATTGTTAATGACTAGTGGAGTAGATTATACTTGTGTTGTGGGAGTGGTGAGTAAGAGTGGTTCTGGCGCAGGTTCCCCGCGAGCGGCGGCGCGGCGGGCGGCACGGGCACGTCGGGCGGCGACCAGCCGACGTTCCAGGAGGAGGGCGGCGACGACGACCTGTACAGCTAAGCGGCGCGCGCACCGACTGGCGCCGCAGGTCTCTACGACTGACCTTACTACTTAAGATTATCGGTTCACATAGCGAATGGGTGTTTCGGACTCGGGAAGCGACCGAATGGTTCCAACGGGCAGCATCTCTCCGTTCGAGAGACTAAACATTATAAAGTCGGCGTGCGCGTCGCGGTCGGTTAAATTTCTACCAATCTGTGTCTAATAATAAATAATATGTAAATGTATTTATTTTATAATTGAATCATTCGATAGCATTTGTTTCTGTTCCGATTTGCTTATGTTTAGTTGTAATTGAATAAATAATGTTTGTGTATGTACCGCTCGCCCCAGCGGCGAGCTTGTAAGATCACCATATGATAGAGTAATTGTTAACTTTACTGTATTTGCCAGATCCTGTGCGTAGGCGGTGTCGGTGGGGATGCCTCGGCAACCACGCCGACTAAACACAATATTACAGTGATTTTTTTAATAAAAGATTTTTATAGACTAGAAATACGTTTTTATTTGTAAACATCATCCTTTACACGTAAATAATTTTACGAAATGGGCTCTTTTTTAATTATCGCGGTGGGTAAAGGATTTATCTTGGTCTCCTAATAATTATTCGAGAGCCTCGGCCTTATGAAAATATTATTAAATGGTGCCACTCTGCAATTAGTTGTACGATCAAGGAGACAGCCTGTGGCCTAACGAAATAAGACCAAAGACAAAATACATCTGTGGACATGTCCCGTGATACGTGTAGCCAGCGATGTTACATCGGCATCATTCGTAGACGTTGTGTGCCTACGTTATCTATACATGTAACAAAACTGTAGAAATTTAAATTCTGTAAATTAAAAACATAAAAAAAAAAACAAATATAGTCTTACTCGATCAACAACGAACCCAAAAATGTAGTTAAATTTTTGTTTGTGTCTGTATGTTCACGCATCATACTAAACTACTGATCCGGTTACGATGAAACTTTGTAGGATTATACTTTAATATCCTGGGCACAATACTGAGTACTTTTTATCCCAAAGAAGTAGGTATATACACGAAAAAACAATTGTGCGGCTCAATCCCCAGACACAGTTACTGTACCAAACGCAAATACAAGTTTGTCGAATGTTAGGTTGCCCGCAGTGGATTTTACGCTGTAACTGTAGGGCCGATTGTTGAAATTAGCATGAACCGATTTCATAAATGTGAAAATATGCGAGTTTGTTTGTATGTTTGTTATTGTTACTCAGTAACATCAAAATGGCTGAAGGGACTGGGATGAAATTTGAAACAGTGGTCTGGAGTAACACATAGGCTACTTTATACCCCTGGAGACGTGCGCGAAGCCGCGGGTAGAAGCTAGAAAACAATAAACGTTAGCGGAATAAAAACTAATTCATTCACGTAAACATATTTATTAAATTATGCTTGTAGATCAATACAGTTCTAATATTTTGTAAAAGAGTTCGAAAGTATGTAAAAACCTAGCCAAAATCATTATAAAGTATAATATAATAACAAGTTAATAAATATTATAAAACGAAAAAAGAAAATGTGTTTCCAAAACTTCTTTTTACTCAGTCAACAAGTGCAAATTGCACGTTCACTGGGTGGACAAAATACATATTTTAAATCTAAAAATAATACTTTATAAGAAAACGTATATAAATAAATAAAATTAAGCAATAATAAAGCATTAAAGATATACAAATTATTTATGGTCAGCCTTGAATAATTCTTCAATATCAGACGACCCAGTATCACGCCAAATGTTTGGAGAATGTACTTTACCCCCAGTGTAGGCATTGTCTCGAGGAAATGATATGGATGATATAGAACGGTTGATAAATTGAAATTGGCTGGCCGTAATTGAAGGATGGTACACTTTGGAGCCAGTAAACGTTCGGTTAGCCCATACATTTTGTAAACAGTCAGCAGACAAACATTCACACACTAATTTGAACTCTTCATCCTGATCCTCAAATTGAGTAGCTACATCTCTGCTCTTCGATTGCTTTTGTTCCGCAGGCAAATGAGATTTGTGCCCCCTAGCATCTCGAACCATCTTTTTTATTATATAATGCGGGCATGGCTCATAATTTGGCAAATATGCTTTATCGATTGCTTTACTTCTCATGTACGAAGGCAACAACTGCTGTAGATGTTTTTGAGCCATCTTACCGCACTGACACCTTTTAGGCATAACATAGGTCTCGAAATATTCATCTGCTTGGTAATGAGGTTTTATCTCGAATTTAGTGTTAATTTTTACTTTAGAAATAGATGATTTTTCTGTAACTGGCGTTTGGGTACTTTTTATTTTGTCGACGTCATCCTTTGTGCAGAAACAATGACGTGCTTTGCAAAATGTACATATGACAGGAACCCCCCTTACGTTCTCGTATTCTTGCTGAAGTATTTGTATGAGAGAGCTTTCTAACCTGAGGTCCAATAGTTGCTGCGACTTTGTGTATGTTACCGGCACATCCTGTGTATAGTCGTGTCTATCTATGATATCGACAACGTCGCCTGTGTGGCCATACAAATAATTATTTACTTTGTTGGTGAATTGTTGGAAGTTGTCACAAGCCGTATATATAAGGCGCTTATTTATAACTACGACTGGCATATGAGAAGCACTAGATGTGCAATGCTTTGGACAAAGTTCCTTGTGGATTGGGATTTCTGTTGCAGTGAACCTTTTATCACAACAGAGGTAGTAAGGATGCGGGTTAGGTATCGGGTCTTCATGACATTCATCTTCACTTTCAAAGATGCTCTCAGCGTTCGGATTTTCTAAGACTTTATCCAGCTGTAGCAACATTAACTTTTCCAAATTGATAAAGAAATCTGCATATGCTGGTAGTAAACTCAAACAATATGAAATGAAGACTTGAAAACTCTTGATGGTGCGCAAAACTTTCTTGTTCCACGTTTGATTAAACTCTAATTGTGCCTTTTCTTGCTCCATTTGCTTAATAACTTCTTTGTCTCTATAAGCTATTTCGTGTACTAAAGCGTTTACTTTTGTCTTATGCAATTTTTCAGCATATTTAATTTCTTTATTGCATTCTTCCTTCTCGTTCAAAGCTACAAAGACTTGACAAGCTAGGTTTAGGCATTGCATGTATTGTCTTGACTTCTCAATAGCAATATGTTTATCTAATACGACATCATGTATTTGCGTACCAAGAGTAGTGCGGCAATTCTCTACTTTTTCAATAAATTCAGATTTTAGTCTTGTCTTTTCTGTCTCCAGATTATTGCTAAACTTTTCGCATAATCGTCTTGCTTGAAGTGAAACTGCCATATTATATTTTTCTAACATGATCAGGTGTGCTTCATCCTGTATTCTTTTAATCTCTTTGCAAGCAGCATCATGCATCAGTGATTCTAATTTATTGAAGGATCTTTCATATAAAATCGAAAATTCTTTGTTTGCTTTTTGCAATATAAGCGTATTTTTCAACGCCGCTTCTTCAGACAGAGTGTCGAAGTACTGCGCACTTTCAGCTTCCACGAAAGCTGTCCATTTCTTATCATTATCAGAGATCATCTTCTTTTGCTCTTCTCTCATGCAATTGTGGTGCTTTTCAACCAACTTCATACAAATATTGTCGATGCCCAGGTAGTTTAGTTTGGTCAAATACTCTCTCTTAAATGGTTTTAAGACTGCTCTTCCTTCTAAAATATCTTTGGGTGGCATATACCAGTCGCCGCCTCCGCCTTTCATTGGAGGTTCGAGTCCTGCTAGCACCTTCTGCTTCGGGCTCATCGTCTTGAAATATACTGCTGCAAGCGGAGGTTTCATTTTTTCTTTCATCATACTCTGAGTGGGGGCCTGGTTTGTTTTCAGGAAATATTCTCTTAAATTATAGTTTTCGCTCAATAGATTTGTGCGCTTTATATCCATAGTAGCAAATAGCTTTTATAATGAATTATAAAAGAAATAATATATTCCAAATATTACAAAAATATGTTACAAAATACATACATTACCGTATATTTGTAGGTGAATGTGACAATCGTATGACGTTACTTTATGAAAGTATGAAGACAAAATCAAAGAATTTAACGAAGAAATTCAAATAGATAAAAAGTTTTTATTGCAGATCTAATTCTGATATCAGTTTGTCCCTAGTTTCACTACACAACTATCTGTCTAGTAGGTGGTAACGTAGAAATCGTGGGAAAACAAGGGCAAGCACTAACGTTTCGAGTACGAACAAAGGACGACTTTCCAAGGTTTTAAGTCTCAGTATTTTGATACATGCAAGTTGACCAGGATAAATGGAGTAGGTGATAAATGAACAGGCTATGGCCTCACTTCTCGATTTATCGCCAACCATAATTAAATCTACTTACCCCAACACGTGTGTGTTGTCATGTCCAGAAGTTTGACGTTCATATTTATATTACAAAATTAAATGATTGTTCGAGTTTACAAGCTTTTTAAATTATTATAGTTGTTTCTTGTTATGTGATGGTGTACATTCGATGAGATCGTTTCGTGCATATCCTTTACCGAGAGCATACAAAATCGGACTACTCGAGTATGAGTGTGAACTGTCGTCTACTTGAGACACAGGTAACAGATTCGCAGTATCGATGTTACGTTGAGATAAACACTGGCATATATAATTGAATTCTTCGTCAATGTACTGGGTGGATGCGTCTTTCACTTTGGACACTGCTGTAGGTAAGGATCTTTGAGAAGATTTATTTTGTTTTTTTCTCGCTCGTTTAACCATGTTTTTCAAAGATGCTACGGAACATTTCTCATAGTTAGGTAATTCTAATGTTTCATACTCAGACATGTTCCTCATATACGGCGGTATCTGCTGAACAATCGGTTTCTTGATGCACTCGCAATTTTGGGACGACATGTATTTGAAATAACTCTTCAATTTAGGTTCTCTTTCATGTTCTGTTTGTCTTATTTTCGAAAGCGGTGTATCTTTTTTCTCTGATGTAGATGCGACCGAAGCCTCATTTATGTCATCCTCATTTTC